GGGAGGGAGGGAGGAAGGAAGGAAGGAAGGAAGGAAGGAAGGAAGGAAGGAAGGAAGGAAGGAGAGAGGGAGGAAAGATGAAACATGACTCTAGCTAGGGTCTTATCTGGAGCCCAGCATCCCTGAACACCCGTTTCCATACAGGACTGCTCTTCCTAGATCCCTAATCCAGCGGCTGACAACACTGAGAAGTCATGGCTTTCTGGAACCTTCAGACCTCTTTCCTGTAGCTAGCTACTGCAGCTCAGCTCCTTAGTTCCACCTTTGACCATGGCGGGTGGGGCTCTGAGAGGCTTGCCTGGGTTCTGCCTAGGTTAGATCTGGCTCTCTTCCTGTCACCTGCACCCACAGACGCTCACTCTTGCCTCAGTGTTTGGGGCCCTGATGGCTATGGAAGGGACACAAGAACGCAGTGTGCATCAGGCCACATGGTTAACCACTCAAGTGAGTGGACTGTGGCCCCAGGATGATATTCGGGTACCAAGGGCCACTTGAGGAGTTACAGACAGACGTATGAGGAAAAGAGAATGAGGATTGCTGGAGAAATCACGACGCTCTCTCAGAAGAAGCAGTTAAGGTATCAAGCACTCCAGGCACTAGGTCAGGAATCTACCACACAGATTACAGTGAAGGACAAGGCAGTGGACTCAGACCTAGGCTTGAGACCCATGTCTTTCACAAGGTATGTGGATCTTAACCTGACAGTTTCCTGTTCTATAAAATCTCATTGATGCCACACTGCTGGCTTCTGAGGATTGGATTAATTAATTAACTAATTTGATTACTACAAGTTAATCTGTTTACTACAAGTTATAATTTGGATGTTTTTTATTTTATTATTATTTTTTTGTTTTGTTTTTCAAGACAGGTTTCTCTGTAGCTTTGGAGCCTGTCCTAGAGCTAGCTCTTGTAGACCAGGCTGGCCTCGAACTTACAGAGATCTGCCTACCTCTGCCTCCCAAGTGCTGGGATTAAAAGCATGTGCCACCACCGCCCCGCCAATTTAGATGTTTGAATTTCTTCAAAATTCTCATTCAACCCATGTTCAGGGCTAGCTAAACGGCTCGGCAGTTAAGAGGGCTTGCCGCTCTGCACAAGCTTGTGTACCAGCACCTGCATCATGCGGCTTACAAACGCTGTACCTCCAGCTCTAAGGGACCCACGTGTCTTCTGGCCTCCATTGGCACCCCCACACACGTGCACATTCACACTGAGATTGAGAAAAATTTCATCTTTAAAATACCTAATCCCTAATGCAATGGCATTATGAGCTAGGCCTTCTGAAGGTGGTGAGGATGTGAGGGAGGGCTGTGTCCTCATGATCGGGATTTAGTGCCCTTATAAGAGGCACCTGTTTGGCCCTTGTTACCCTTCAACCTTTTCTAGCGTATGAGAACACCTTGACAAAGTACCATTTCTGAAGACTAAGCCCTCACTGGAGATTAACTCTGCCGGTAGCTTGCTCTGGGACTTCTCAAACACATTTCTGTTGATTAAAAATGACCTGTGTAAGGTTGTTTTGCGATAGCAGCTAGACCAGGCAAGAGTCTGGCACCCAGCAGTGCTTAGGGATTTGTTGGCTTTTGTTAATATTAATCCTTTCAACGATTCTTCAAGATGAGGTCCATCAATGTAGAGATCAAAGAGACTGACCTAAGGAATGCCCTCACAGCCCAGGGCAGTAGACAGTCCAGGAGACAACACAGACACCTGTTCAACATGTATAGCATGTTCACAAAACTGAAGGATGCTGGTTACCTAACTCTACTGCAGTGCCAGCCATTGCCTCCTGTGAGAGACTTAGAAAGGAGAGGAGTTGAAGGGTCAAAACTACTAAGGCAAAGAAAAGAGCCACTGAGCTGTCTTCTGTAAGAGGCACTGATGGACAGAATATTTCTGATTAGGCAGATTCAAGCTAGTGGGAAGAGGAGAGGGCCTGGGATCCAAGTCATGAACTGCTTCTTAAGGCCATGGAGGAGCTGGACCCTGAACTGAAGCAGTGGAGACTGTGGTGGTTTAACTTAGAATGGTCCCAGCACAGCGGTGGTGGTGTTAGAGGAGGTAGCGCAGGCAGCACACACCTTTATTCCCAGGCAGAGGCAGGCAGATTTCTATGAGTTTGAAGTCAGACTGCTCTAGAAAGTTCCAGGACATCCAGAGCTGCTACGCAGAGAAAGCCTGCTTCAAAAAACAAAAAACAAACAAATGAACGAATGACTCCCATAGGCTCACATGAATGTTTGGTCCCCAGTTGGCGGAACTGTTTGGGAAGGATCGGGAGCATGGCCTTGTTGGAGAAGGTGAGTCACTGGGCACGGGCTTTGAAGTTTTGAAAGCTCATGCCATCCCCGTTAGCTCTCTCTCTCTCTGCCTTTTGGTTGTTGTCTCAGTATGTAAGCTCTCAGCTACTTCTCCAGTGCCATGTCTATCTGCCCGCTTGCCTGACCACCCTGCTGCCATCCTCCCTGCCATGATGGTCATGGACTCTAACTCTCTGGAACTGTAAGTGAGCACCCAAGTAAATGATTTTCTTCATAAGTTACACTGGTCATGGTATCTTATCACAGCAACCAAAAGGTAACTAAGACAGCTCCTGGGATGCAGAGATGCCCAGAGGAGGCTGGGCAGCAGCAGTGACTCCGGGCTCAGTGTGAAAGGATCCAGGTAGAGTAGACCTGGAAGAATAAAGGTGAAAGGGGAACCCGGCCAAGTCTGAGAGCAGGCTTCTCATCCCTTCACCTTGCTCTAAACGCTTGGTACACACCACCCAAACACTACCTTTCCCATCATCCTGTGTGTGCATAATAAACAGAAATGTGTTGTCCATATGCTTCAGAACTCTGATACCTCCTTCCCAGAGCACAGCAACCTGGAGGTCTGTAAAGGAATCCGGACACATCGGGTGAGCTGAGTGTTCAATAAAGAAACAGAGGCCATTTGTACATTGTCTTAAAACCAGGTTGTTTATTGGTACATAAACACCCACTCACGCCCACACACACCCACACACACTCGCACACCCACTCCTGAAGCACTGAGCCAATACAGTACTGAGAAGGGACCCGGTGAGACACAGGAGGCTGGCAAGGAGGGCTTGGGTCACTGGTTACTCTCCAGAAAAAAAAAATATATGCATATATACTTTAACTGTGAGGCAAAGGGTACACCATGACAGCAGCCTTCCATCACTGCATGCAGAGTCCCCGTCCACCCTCCCTGCTGACCCTGAAAACACCTGGATCCCCAGTCGCTACCTATGACATCGAAAACCATGACAGGGTTACACGGTAGAGGAGGGGCAGGGCTGACTCTCTCACACAGCTAGCCCATAGAGAGTCCCCAGAAGGAGTTAGACGGGGTTCAAGCTCAACTCCTTCCATCTCAGGATGCTGGTACTTCTGTGTAACTCCAGCCATCAGGATTGGGCTTTTTCTGCACTCTAACTAATTCATATTCTAAATTGTTTCTCATCTTCATCCCCAGCAGCCTGACTGGTAGGGATGCGGAAACAACGGGACCAAGGACAGGTAGCTTCCTGCCCAGCCCAGGGGAGCCCATTCAGTCACCCCATTAGCCAAGCTTTCCCCTACTGAGCCAGCAGGGAGTTCTGGCTCATTTCTCCACCTGCCAGCCTAGCCCCTGCTCAGAATCCCAGTGAATGAGATGGCAAACCAGTTACTCCACTTGCCTACAGGAGGGCAGGAGGGTACCGTCCTGCCTGCCTCCAACAAACACAACCCAGGCACGTCTTTTCCTCTCCCGTTAAGTATCAGCTTCTATCAACCCACTCTGATATGAGGTCCTGAGATTTCCTAAGGCTAAGGAATGGGTCTGGAAGAGGAGGTGAATGGCATTCCTCACAATCCGTCCTGCCCCACCATGCTGCCAGAAAAAGCAATTAAAATAGTGGGGAGAGAGGAGATCAACAATTTCTGGAGTAGACAGCTGACCCCCAAAGAACACTAATGGAGGACTGGACGGCATGAGGACACAGAGGGAGGACTGCCTCAATCCACATTAGAGATCCTGGACCTGGGACGTGGTTCCCTAAAGGGACCCCCCCCCTTTCAGGGCAGACATAACAGCTCACGATCTGACCCACTCAGCCCCGTAGCAGACTCCACTGTGGCTGGGGCTGAACCATTCCCACTGCCCTTTGGGCTTAGGTAGCAAGGCCATCTGTTTTCCTTCTAGTTTCCCTGACTTTACCTTCTACTGGGCAAGGAGTTGAAGATTTTCCCTTGCCTTCGCCCTTAGTCCAAAGCTCTGGGGTCCATTTCTCCCACATATTTGGGATTCTGCATCAGCTGGGACTCAGAGTTTCCACCTTAGCCTTCCTCAGTTTCCTTCCTGGAGTATCCTGGAGGGACTCGGGTACTCACCCCTCATTGCCCCCAAGCACGACCAGGAGGCAGGAGCTACAGACACTGTTGACCGGTTTGGGGAAGGGGCAGGGGCGATACTGTGAAAGGGGGTACAAAACCACTCCGACAATTTGGCACAGCCAGAGTGGAGGGGACCAGAAGGCCAATTAGTCCAAGCAGGACAGAGTCCGAAATGGCCTTTTATTGGAAGGGCCATCTCAGTCCTTGGCTTGGGATCATGAGCCTGATGAACCCAGAGTCCAGACCAAACTAGGTCCAGAAGAGGAAAGGTGGTGACACTCACTCAGTGTTACTCTTTTCTCCTCCCACAGAATCCCAAGCACCATCAACCTGGGTGCCGCCACATACAGGAAACCTTGGCCACATCCACCAGAGACTTACAAAAGGGGCACGAAGTAGGACTCGGATAGTGGGATGCCAAGGGAGTAGATGAGCATATTCTGAGATCCCGGGCAACTGGAAAGTCACAGAGGAGAGGCTGGGAGCCAAGGGAGAAAAGGAACAAGCAGGAGGGGTCAGGGCCGGCTGAGCCTGTGAAACCAGGGCACCCACCCTGGGGGCCATGGCTAGTCCCGGAAGGCGGAGAGCATGTGTCCGTAGAGATAGTGAGAGTGAGCTAAGAGAGAAGAGAGAGACAAGCTCTGTAAGTGGAGGTGGTCCCCGGAAGGGCAGCAGGTAGGTGTAACATGCGGCCAAGCACAAAGCGAAGCAGGAAGGGCAAGCCGGCGGTGCTGCGGCGAGGGTGCGGCGGCAGGGCGGGCCAGGACGGAGGCAAAGCGGGCGGGCGAGCGCAGCCACGGCCAGGCCCACTTACCCCGAGCCGGGGGGACACCCCCGTCAGACCCGGGGCGGGAGGGTGGGGGGTCAGCAGGAGTAGGTCCGGACCGTGGAGGGCTCCAGTCTCTGCGCCCCCGCCGTCCCGGCTGGCAGGAGTCGGCAGCGGCGGGAGAACACACAGAGCGCGGGTTAGTGCGCGCCCCACCGCAGCGTTAGTGCAGAGCAGCCTCGGCCTCGCCCCTCTCCAGCCCGCTTGGCCCCAGGCTGCGGGAGGGAGCCCGCGGCCAGTCCCCGCACTCACCTTCCGGCATGATCTTCTTGGGCGGAGGGGGTGGGGGCTGCAGCGGACCCAGCGTGGATACACGGAAGCCCACTGGGAGGGTCTCTGCAGAGGTGCCCAGCATGCCACCACTGTGGTGATCCCGTGGCCGGAAGCGTTTCCTCCAGGAGGGTGCTCGACGGAACACCTTCTCTTCCCCCTGCACCAAGGGACATATTGGAGTTGCCGCCCCAACCTTCCCAACTGAGCTGGGAGAGCCCACTGCTTTTTCAAAGTATTTCTCGTCCTAGGCTCCCTGCGGGAGGTCACTCACTGGTCAGCCCCAGTCCTGCTACCCTGTCCTGGGGCCTCAATAAAGATACTACCCAGGTTGCCAGGAACACACTGCCAGAGATCATGAGTTCTAGGTTGCCGTTCTTGGTTCAGTTGCTTGACTAGCAACAGGACTCTCCCGGCTTCAGTTTTCTTATCTGTCAAATGGAAAGTCCAACATCTGCCTCACCTATTTATGTCTCAGGCTACCTTCTCCACTAGAACCAGAACACACAGACAGTGATGGGGCCAGGCAGATGAGCCTCCAGAATCAGGCTCCTCCAAAGGACACAGGCCACCCATCCCACCCTTCGGAGCCCCGGCTCACTGCCTTGTGGCCAAACCTCCTCTTCCACCTTTCTGTTTTCAGAACTGTGCAGACCCTGCAGTATGGGAAGAGTGGGCAGGAACAGGGCCGCTGACACCTGGTTTTGCCTCAACCATCCCTCCCATTGGGGTTTGTAATCTGTGCTCTTGGAATGATACATGCTCTAATCACCTCTAAACCTGCCCTAAGACCTGTCCCAGGAGCATCGACAAGAGAACTCCATTACTGTTTCTCATTCCTCCCTGCTCCCCCCAATCCCTTCACCTTCTACTCCTTCCATTTTCTTCTCCTTTCTCTATCATGTTCTATGCTCTGTGGGGCAATGAATGATTGTTGTTCCAAAGAATGCATTCCCTGATCCTGAGTGATGTCGTGGAATGCTGTCTGCCTCAGTAACTGTTGATGAATGGATAATTGGAGGTCCGTTCCTTAATTTAGCAAGGTCTAAAGATGGAGAATCTAGAAATAACTGTGTGTGGGATATGTTCACACACGCCACGGGACATCTGTGGAAGTCAGAGAACAACACTGGGGAGCTGGTTGTCTCTTCCTACCTTTCTATAGGTTCCAGAGACCAAACTCAGGTCATCTGGCTTGTACAACCAGAGCTTTCCTTCCTGTGCCGTCCCGTCAGTCCCGGGCTCTTTTTTAACTTGCTTAAGCACAGTCGGGTAAGGCAGACAGACTGGCACATTCAAGGAAGGCTGGTGACAGGGAAACAGGTCAAGAGGTGGAGGAGGGATGCTGTCAGGGCCCTCCAAGTCTTCCCTGAACCCCAAGAGAAGGCCTGATGAAATGAAGGTCAAAGGCTACTTCTACAGACCAGAAGGGCTGCAGATTGAAGCTACGGCAAGATCTGGGGTGTCAGCTTGGGTTTTTGTTTAGCAGTGTGCCAACTACCCTGAGGAGCAGAGAGCGGAGCTGTCACTCAGCACCTCAGCAGAGCGTCTGTCCTCAGACACCACACAACTGGAGGGCAGGCTGCAATCCCGCCCAGCATGGAGAGACACAGAAACAGAAAAGTCACCCACAGAGACGGCCTCTGGGGAAGACCTTTGACCCTGCATGGCCGAGAAGGCTGAGTTTTGAGGTGGAAGATGCTAGAAGTATAACACGGGCTTTGGGTTTTATACCAGAAATGATTTTCAGAGACTTCCCCACAGCCTGCTGCACAACCAACCACATTCCTCCCCGCCCCTTGCCATTCCCCATCCCTGCTGGCTCTCCTCCCTTAGGCTAGCCACCACTCATCAGCCCTAGGGTGGGAGATCTCATGACCCTCAATCCAATCAGCCTACAATGACCAAGACCCTAAATTCATATCCAAGTACTCACGTCATCCAACTTCCTGTCTGTGCCCAAAGCCAACAGGTTATTGAACTCTCTCTCCATCACTTGACGGGCCTGAAACCCACAGGGTGAGAGGAAGGAAGAGAGGCTCTAGTTAATAACATTTATGGTATCTATCTCTTTTAAATTTTTACATTAATTCAGTTTTTATTATTATGTGTCTGTGTGTACATGTATGTACGTGTGTATGTGTATGCACGCACACACATGTGGGCAAATTATGACTATGCACTGTGGAGGTTAGAAGAGAATGTGCAAGAATTGTTTCTCTCTTTTCACCATGCGGGTCCCAGGGATCAAACTCAGATTATCAGACAAATTAGGGGCAAATGTCATTTTTAAAGCTGGGTTACAGAGTACATGAGTAGACAGGCTTTATCTATTGAAAAAAAAACTATTTTCACTAATTAGACTCACAGAGTTATCAATAACAAAAAGAAAGAGGACAGGAAGGTGTGAGGGAGAACGGAGGCACGAGTGGGAATTGGAGGGAGGTGATAGTAGACAAAGATGATCAAAACACATTGTACAAGCCGGGCAATGGTGGCGCACGCCTTTAATCCCAGCACTCGGGAGGCAGAGGCAGGCGGATCTCTGTGAGTTCGAGACCAGCCTGGTCTACAGAGCTAGTGCCAGGACAGGCTCCAAAGCCACAGAGGAACCCTGTCTCGAAAAACCAAATATACCCGATTTTCTATGCATAAATAAAAATTATTTTTAAGCCTCTATTTTGTCTCTAATGGGAAAACATGGCTGAGCACCCATTGGTGAGGGCAGGAGGAAGAACAGTAAGCACACACACTTGGGTGAGCAAAACTGCCCAGGAATAAGTAAGTTCATCTGGCAGGGCACACATTGCAAACTCAGACTAAAAGAATCCCCAGTCGCAGATAGTGGGAGCCCTGAGACACTTTTCTAGACCTCCTCAGAATTAACTCAGTAAGGAAACTACCCGCGTGGGTGCAGAGGTGGCTCAGCAGTTAAGAGCACTTGCGGCTCTTGCAGAGGACCCAGATTCAGTTTCCAGCACCCATATCAGGTGACTGACAACTGCCCATAACTACAGTTCCAGGGAACCAGAAGCCCTCTTTTGGCCTCTGCAACACCTGCATGCATTATGATACACATAAACACACACACACACACACACAATAAGAAATAAATTAATCAAAAGAAACAGGGAGGTTTTCATAACTTTCTGTCACCAGATATTTTCAACCATGGGCCATAAAGGATTCCAAACTGTGTCACACAAATAGGTCAAGAAAATGCCAGGTGCTGGTAGTGGATGTCTTAAATCCCAGGAGGCAGAGGCAGGTGGATCTCTGAGTTCAAGGCCAGTGTGGTCTACAGATTGAGTTCCAGGACAGACAGGCAACACAGAGAAAGCCTGTCTCAAAAAAAAAAAAAAAAAAAAAAAAAAAAAAAAAAAAAAAAAAAAAAAGGAGAAGGAGGAGGAGGAGGAGAGAAGAGGAAAGAGAGAGCCCATTTCTGGAGGGAGTATGAAGCCCAGAGTTCTATCAGGATAGTGTTTGTCAGAGTGGAAGCGGCATGTCTTACAAGTGATCAGAGAGGAAGGTGGTTGTAAGGTTTCAGATATTCTGGGAAGTGAGAGGTTAAAAAGATGTGTATCAACTGCAGAGCCCTGAGCAGGCAGGAAACCTGCAAATGAACTTAGAGGTAGGCAAGTATAGAGAAATTGCATTTGGAGGAAATCCAAACTCTTACTAGAAAGGAAAGGTTCCGTGCTATGTGTTTTGACTGGTCAGTGGGCGTCACAGCAGACGGTCTACAAACACATTGGCCCTGAATGGTGCCGTTGCCCCCAAGGCCAGCACTACCCAGAACCGAGAGACAACACAGCCCCACCCTCGGTCAAGCCAAAAAGTGTCTGTTCCCAGAATAGCCAGCACAGCTAGTGGCTGAATTTCAAAAGCAATCTGACAGCTGCGAACAGTTCAGACAAGGGCAGCTAAAATGATCAGGGGCAGCAGCTAGTCTACACGAGGGACAGCTAAAAGAATTAAGACCATTCTGTCTGGAAAAACAAAGGCTTGGGCCCAGAGGCAACATAATCAGACTTTATGAAATTCACAGTTCTTACAAAAGGGGAGAATGGGTAACATACAAACATCCTCATCAAGCTAAACTGTAAGGAAGAGGTGGATCTTTCCCCAGGGGCAGCTTGGCAGAGGCAGATTTAGGACAACTAAAATCAGGAAGTACTTTACCCGAGTGCAAGTGCACCTAGACTCCATTACCCACAGGAAGTCAGAAGGGCCAAAAATACAAACAGGGTCAAGAGACTTGAGATATATTCCTAGATAATCATTGTAACAATAATCACGAAATGTAATTGAAGGAGATGTCTAATCTTTTGAGCTGCTGACAGGAAGACAAAGCCCTGGTATGGAGTGTCTCTGGGCTGTGCCCACTGGTATATTTAGTCTGTTAAAGCCTAGGAGCTCAGGAGCAGATCCCTAGGGTAGGTACAGGCTCTATGGTCCCTGCAAGGCCCAGTGCTTGTTCTTCCCTATGAAAAGTTGGGTCAGAGAAGCAACTTAAGGAAAAGGAAAGCACCAGGCCTCAGCTTGGGAAGAGCTGGAGTGACCCACAGCTGTGTGGTCACAAGAAATGTAACTGCATGTGAAAGACACATATTCCCCAGGGGCTTTGGTGATGCACAGGGACCACTCACCCTGTTGGGACAGACGGCACGCATGCGCGCGCACACACGCAGTAGGGGGAGGTGGGTACTGGCGGACTGGAGGCCTACCTGGGTGTTCTGTGTGGGGATTTGCAGAACCAAGGCCAGGGTGTTGTGATCGAAGTTCTCATCCAGGGCCAGCAGAGCACCATGCACACCACTCTCATGCAGATTTCCTGCATAGTCCCTCAGCCCGATAGACTGGACCCAGTGAACCACCTGGTCATTGGTCCAGACCAGCACATCTGGAGGGCAGAGGAAGAAATGGACAAAAAGGAAACATGGCTGGCCCAGGCTCTTCTAGGCACAGAAGGCATTTCCTACCCGCAGACCCCCGGCTACCCCTCTGTCTAGCTCCCACTCCATCCCAAGCTTCCTTCCTGGCATCTGGGTCCCCGCAGGGCCAGCTCCACCTCACTGCATCTCTGCTACTTTTTCCCTTGGGGTCCCAGCTTGGATCGTCCCCCAACCCCAGGCTAAAGTGGCCTTATTCTTTCTACTTTCAGGGTCTTATCTATAACCTGCCTCTTCCCCATCCAGCCCTCTCCTCCCCCACCACCAGGTCACCAACTTCGGTGAGCACATCAGTCTACAGCACCATACCAGAGGTCTTGTCAGTGTGGATGGTGGCCACTGTCTGAGGGAAGTGGAATCACATCTGAGTGGATATGGAATATTTCTGTTCCATTGAACAGGCTGGGGTTGTAGCCACCTCTCAGCTCTGAGTCTTTCTTGAGGCTCACTGGGCCCCAGGCTTCGGGTCGAAGCAAGCTTCCCCAGACCCTTCCAGCTTACCCTTGATCTCATGCTGACTCTCCTCCCGCCTCTTCTCCAGCTCCTTCCGGTCATAATTCAGCCTCTTCAGACACATGATGCCATACTGAAGACTGGTTCTGTAGGCACACAACAGCTGAGCCAGGGCTCTGGTGTAACCACATTCCTGGCTACATGGCCCCCATTCTGTACCAACCATAACAGGCACAGACCCACTGCACCCAGCACAAAACACACCCTGGTCCCTTCAGGCTCCTGCTGCCAGGGCTGCACCTGATTCAAGGCTATTTCCACCTCCAGCTGCTTACACCCCATCCCCTTCAGGCAGGTAGGGCCTTGAAGGCTGATCTTGTCGGTCACCTTGGTTGGACTGCACCACCTAGCCTAGCAGATTAGGTGTCTTCAAAGGCATTTCCAGAGGTGATTAGGGAGGTGGTAAGACCCATCCTGAATATGGACAGCTCCATTTCACAGGCTGGGAACCAGATGGAATAAAAGGGGAGAAGGAGACAGCCTAAGGGCCGAGACATTCTCTCTGCTTCACCCTTTACAACGGGCTCAAACCAGGAGCAAAACCAAATCCTTTCTCTCCCAGGGTGTGTCAGATATTCTGTTACAGCAAACAGAAACCAACAAAGGGCCTGCCTGGTGGAAGGGCTTTGGAGGACATTAGCAAGCCCCTTCTTTGCAGCGTTGGGATGACAAAGACTAACAACCACTCACAATCAAAGTAAAAGGAAATCTAAGATACTCCTTAATATTGCTAGTTCACTCAGGCCTTTCAGTGGCCTACAAGATGCAACAGGTGTTCCCTTACCTGTCCAGCCTGCTGTCTGTGCTGCAGCCACACTGACACCACGCTGCTCCTCAGACAGCAGGCATCCAAGGCCTGGGGGCCTCAGGGCCTTTGCACTGCTTGCCACACAGAGCATCCAACCCCCAGTTTTTCTAAACAGTTCACTCTTTCTTCACCTTTAAGTCTTTCTTCACACGTCCCCTGCTCAGCCCAACTCAGAAGCCACCTAAAGCAGACTTACACTATACCATCACCACCTCCATCCCACACTAACAAGGTCGGATTATATTCCTAGCTCCTTAACCATCTTGCCTCGCCAAGTCAAAATGTACACTTCGGAGGACAGGGACCATTTAACTTACTGGTCACAAATCTCTAGGGCGTCCTAGGTGCTCTATAAGTGCTTAACGATGAAATGACACAATTTACACAACTTACTAACTATACCAAAGGAGCAGCAGTTGCAGTAAGCAGTGAGTGGACAATAACTCGGGCAGAGGAACCTTGGGTTAGAAGGGACCCCGCAGCCTTTAATCTGGGCTCCTCCAAATCTAGGACTCATCCACCCTACAACACTTCCACAGTGGTGAGCAACATCAGAACCACCCCAGTGAGGGGCAGCTCATTCACACTGGGACAAATGTAAGGGTCCCAGCTTGACTGGACAACTACCTTGTCCTTTCCCCTTTCTGGGTTCTCCTTTACACAGAGCAACGGAACAGAAGGCCCATCCAGCTCCAACCGCTTTGAGATTAAATTATACAGACTGCTCCCGAAGCCCTTCTGCCTGGAACACTCATGCTCAGGGACACATTTCTAGGTCGCCTGTATTTAGGGTGCAAGCTGCTGTCTTAAGTTCTGGATGGCTATCAAGAGGCATCAGCTCACACAACCTGTGATGGGCTACGCCCCTGACATGAAGTCTCGCTGTAAACCTTTACACAGTTCCTATGGCTTTCAAGGCTGTCAGACAACAGAACAAAACCATAAAGTCCTTGTAGTTAGGTCAAGACACGTCTGAATGCCAGCTCTGCCACATTCTCCCTGAGGACACCAGGCATCTGTAAGATGGAGTCCCACCTCTCTTTGGTGAGGATTAGAAGTGACCATGAATGGAAGGGCTCAACACATCTCGGGGACTCAGAAACAGGTAGGTGTGATTGATATATGTGTGGAGTGGGGATCAACCCAAACAGCAATACTCAACAGACTACCCCTGTCCAAGGAGAAGCACTGGGCGGGATGCCAAAAGATGAGGGCATCAGCCCGATCTGGCCAAGGGAGCAGGTACAAACAACCTCTCTTTGATTTGCTGCCTGTTGGTAGAGTAAGATGTAAACATCCCTTTCTTGTCATAAAAATAGTGACTTACATGAACGTCTCCAAAAATGACTTGGTGGTACAAGTCTTTAATCCAAGCTATTCAGGAGGCTGAGGCAAGAGGATCCCAAATTCAAGAGTTATTACAGAGTGAGTTTAAGACCAGACAACTTAGTGAGAACCTGTCTGAAAATACAAAAAAAGGACGGGGAGGCCAGGCACAGTGGGGCATGTTTATAATCCCTACGTGTGGAAGTAAAGGCTGGAGGATCAGAAACTCGAGGTCACCCTCGCCTACACAGAAAGTTTAAGGCCATCCTGGGTTACATGGGTCCCTGTTTCAAAAGCAGGAAGGGGGGTTGGGAATGAAGCTCAGTGTCAGCAAGCCTGGCTGCCCGTGTGGAGACTCTATGCTCAGTCTCAAGTGTTTCAACAAAGGAATAGCCAAGAACACGCTTTTGAGTCCAGACATGAGGGCTCACGCCCCTAATCCCAATATCTGGAGGATGAGGTGGGAGGGCTGTGAGTTTGAGGCCAGCATAAGCTGCAGAGTGAGTGCTTGTCCCTGAACTCCAAGAAAAACAAGAAAGAAAGAAAGAAAGAAAGAAAGAAAGGAAGGAAGGAAGGAAGGAAGGAAGGAAGGAAGAAAGAAAGAAAGAAAGAAAGAAAGAAAGAAAGAAAGAAAGAAAGAGAGAGAATGTGCTATTGGAATGTTGAGCAGAATAGCCCAGAGCGAATGGCAGAGGCAAAGTGTGGTGACACCTCAGAAGCCTGAAGCACCCATGCTTCAGAGCTGCTCTATAGCCCCTGGCAGGCTGGCCTTCTCCCTGCTCCTCACAGTGGGGCTGCATGTAGGAGGGCTCCGGCTCTCCTGCTAAGACAGGCAGGCCTTCTCCAGCAGTCCAGGCACACATCAGCCGGGCAGAGGAGCGGCACATCTCCCTGCCTATCAATCACACAGGAGGAGACAGGTGCAGCTGGGCCTGGCAGCCACCCAGGCAAAGACAAAAGACTCCCTTTCAGCAAGGGGTGCTGGGCAGAGAAGACACAGCTTCCCTGCAGCCCTCACAAGTCGCTGTGGGGTCAGAAAGGCTAAGGGGTACAGGACTGAACCTGAGTCCTCAGACTTAGTTCTGCCTGTGCTCCGTCTCCATCCCTAAGGTACTGCTCCTTCCTAGGCCTCGGTTTCCTCATCCATGAGGAAGTTAACCAGATCCCGTCCAGATTTAAATCTCTACAGTGTGTCAACTGGAAGACGTCCACAAAGTCCTGACGGAACTTGAAAAGCCACAAACACCGGGCGCCACCTGCCATCTTACTCTCTACTTGAGGCAAAGCCCTAGTTTAAGTGGCTGTGCCCACCAGCCTCACTTTGCAGTGCTGGCAGGGAGGGATCAGGCTGTCATATTGCTTGTTGTTCATGAGCTAGCTGGGAAGCAGGCTGGAGGGGCTGTCATGTCCAGGTGGCAGTGTGGCAACGGAGCTGCCCACCTTTCCAAAGAAACCAGAATTCCAGACATCTAGATAGAAATTACTGTTAAAACATTGGCAGCTGAGGCTGGAGAGATGGGTCAGTGGTTAGAGCACTGGCTGTTCTTCCAGAAGACCTTGGTTCAATTCCCAGCACCGACATGGTGATTCACATCAGCTCCAGAGGATCTGATGTCCCCATCTGGCCTCCACAGGCAATAGGCACACATGTGGTTCACAGACATACATGCAGGTAAACCACTCATATACAAAAATAATAAAAATTAAAACAAAAACAAAATATTGCCAACTAAATTCATGATTTTTAAAAAACATGGAGGCTAAATAAAATGTATCTCTAAGCCAAATTCAGCTCACAGGCTGCTAGCTTAGGACCTCTGCCATGACAGGTTTGTACAGATCTTCTCAGTCTAAAGAAGACAAGGATTAGATGTCACTCTGCATAAAGGGACAAAGCTCAGGGACTCACATCGGCGACACAAAAGTGTCACGAGCCCATTGCCCCCATGACGGTGCGCGGTCCCTCGTGTGTTTGCACACTTGGTCTCCAGATAGTAGTGCTGTTGGAAACGTCACGGGACTCTCAGGCTGTAAAGCCTCAGTAGGAGAAATAAGTCGTGGGGGTGCTTTTGAAGGCTTACAGTCTGGTCTTACTGTTCTTTCTCCACTTCCTGGGTGCAAACGTGATCTGATCAGCCAGCTTCCTGCTCCTGTGCTGTGCTTCCTTCCCCTGCCTACTGCCATGTCCTTCCCTACCATAATGGTCTGGAACTATAGCCTGAAATAAATCCTTTCTCCACTAAGTTGTTTTGTCAAGGTATTTTTATCACAGCAGCAGAAAAAAAAAAAACAATACAGATGCTCAATGCTGGTTATCAATGTAAGGGTATCTGCAATTGTCTAAAAAACGATCCCCAGGGCCCTGGGAGGAATTAATTGACTAGATTATCCTCTAGCCTGTCTTTGAGGGATTATCTTGATTGGGTTAATTGAGATATGAAGTTTTGCCTAAAAGTGGGCAGCACCTTTCCCTGGGCTGGGGTCCTAGACGGTAAATAAAGGAGAAAGCCAGTGAGCACCAACGTGCATCTCCCTCTTCTTCCTGACTGCTGGAGCAGAGCAGCCAGCTGCCGTCTTCACTGCTCCATCATGACGGACTGTACCCCACAACCGAGAGCCAAAATGAGCCCTCCCTTCTCTCGGTTGCTTTAGACAGGGTATCTTATGACCTAGAGACATATAGTCCCTCAGTGTCAGAGCCACTGTAAGGCTCCTTGGTGAACACAGAGAATTCAGCAAACCAAAACACAAGCAAGGAAATTCAGAGTCCAGAGGAAACTCTCAAAGATGATGCTAATGAAAACAACTTGTGCCCTGTGGGTTTAAAAGGGACAGGATCAAATTCACAAACCGCAGAACGAGAGAAGAACATGGGAGAGTTCCATAACAAAGGAAACCTATTACTACCCAGAGTGGGCCCTGGAAAGAGACAAGGGGCCCCTCCATTTCTGAGGACAGAGCCCCAGGGCTTGGGGAGATGCCACACCAAGGAGGTAGCCCCAGCTCCAGCCTGGCTCACCGATGAAAACTGTCCACCATCTTGAGGTGAACCCGCAGGTCCTTCTTGGTGAGGTGATCCAGCATGCGTGCATCCACCAGGCACTCCATGAAGTAACTGCGGTACTGAGGGAGCCCCAGGCTGGGCAGCCATTCATTTCCAATCCACTCGTGATTCATGTCTCCATAGGCCAGGGTCTGGGGACATGAGACGGAAGAGGACATGGGCAGGGCGGTGCCGATAGGCCACAGCTGGCATGTCTATTTGGGAGAATCCTAATCCCCCTCCACCCGTGAGGAAGGGCAGGCTGCTCGCTAATACTTTAGCTTATTTGTGAGAAGCGATAGAAGTATTTCAGGATCTCAAAATGACCCAGTTCTGCTCAGGTAGCAACTGTCTACGCCAGCGAAGGACCGACTGCCCATGGAGTAGAAAACAGTCCTTCCTGCCACCTCTGCATGTGTAGTGGTGTGTGGACGACAGGCCTCCCTTACGTCAGCTAGTCTCAGAGGCAGGAGAGAGGCCAGGTTCAGTAGGCCTGCAAAGCATGACAGCCTGGCTCTGCGGAATGGCTAGCTCCACAGTCCAGGGAATGACTAAATGTTAGCCGAAGACAGAAAACAAAGCAAGGGACAGAAGCCTGAGCCTTAACAGTCGGTCTGCTTCCCTACGGCCTGCTCAGCACTCCAGGAGTCCTCCGGGCCCTTTGTTGGTGCTCCCACCCTCACGGCCACTCGTCCCGCGGTGCCTGCACTACGTGGCGTTACCTCTGGCTAAGAGCAAACGGGCTCCTTGACCACTCGGCTTCAGAGAGGCTCAGTTTCGAGAGCAATCCCCCCCCTCCCCAGCACCTCTCCCTCACATGCTAGATGTTTCCAGACTGAAAAGCTCCACTTTAAAAGGAAATTTTACATGCTGATATGTGTAAAACTGCATGTCACATATGTTTCTTACCAAGCACACGAAAGAAGAAACCCTCCGTGGTCAACATCCAAGTCCAGAACTAGTACAGCCGCTGCCTTTCCCTGGACCCCGCTCCCACGCTTTCTCCACACAAGACTGCTATACTCTATTTCCCACCGTTCTTCTACTCTAAGAGGAAGGGTTTTACACTTACCAGGGGACACATTTGCTAAACAATACATTAGCTTTGTGTGTGTGCGTGTGTGTGTGTGTGTGTGTGTGTGTGTGTTATTTATCAAGTTCTATAAAGCCATCAGGATCAACATTTTTTCCTTAACTTTACATTTCTGATTCCTCTAGTGTTGTATCATGAGAACGTGCTGTCTGTCACCGGTGTGACCAGCGAGTGCAAACATGGCTGCCCTGCCTCATTCTCCACCACTGCAACAACTATTCCAGACTGTCCCTGTGTTCATCAACACTGTCCTTAGATTCCATTTAAACTGCTCGTTGATGTTATTCCTTTACTCATTTAGAAAGTTTAGAATGTCTGATCTTGTAGATGCTCAATAAAGATGTGCTAACGAGGTAAGCACGAATGAATGAATGAATGAATGAATGAATGATGAATGAAAGGTTCATTAGCCAGAGTGCCCTTTGGCAGGATAAGGAATGGAAGAAGATTGTAAGAATCTAAGTCTCATCGTTCATGAGGAGAGAGTCAAACTGTGAAGTGTCTGGCATGCTGGGGGCCCAGCCCCCCACTGTTCCTCACCTGCCATCCCAAGAAAGCAGAGAAGGAATGAAAATGGAGTTTGGGGACAAAAAGAAGAAACTATCCAGGCCTCCACGTGTGACGAGGACATGCACACACTGGACTCGGCCAGCTGGACCGTCCAGGGAGCCTTGAGGAAGGATGCTGCCCTGACCTGAGAGGAGTTCTGGTGAGGGAGGGAGGCGTCTTACCTGGGCCCAGCTGCCCTCCTCACTGTCCTAGCAGGAGCCAGTGCCGCATGTCAGGGGAGACACAAAAGTCAAGAAACCCGGAGCCTCCACCCAGGCTCCCCCAAAAGAGGGGAAAGCCACCCCGGTAGCTCATGGGTGACCAGGGTAAGCTTGCTGGGTTAGTTGAGAAAGCTGGCACATACGTGCATGCTTGTGGTGGGGGTAACAAATTGGTGCGGCTAAACCATGCTTCCACGGTTCCCAGGCTTGACTGGGGGTTAGCACGATGCCAGAAACTCCCATTCTTCCCTCCTTCTCCTCCAAGGACTGAGCCAAGAACAGGGAGCTTGTGACTCGGGCCCATAACGGGGTAGCGCCCCTGTAGCCCAAAGATGTCAAGGTCTTATGACCCCTGGCACAGAGCTTCCCACAATCAGGGATGCTAGGTCTCTGCCAGCCCCTCAGGCTTCCCACATTCCTCACTTCATATTCAGGGCTGTCACTAGTTCCTGGGCCAAGGGGCAGACTCACTGTTTTGGTAGATGTTGCCAGAGTTTCCATCTCTTCATGGGTCACCCAGACATTCCCTGAAGACTGCAGGCAAAGAAGAAAGCATCCTGGTCCTGGATGTGCCCTGCCCCCACCCCCAAGCTCTCCAGCAGAAGGCCCCAGGTACAACTCTCCCTTCCCCTGACTCCACCCATGGGTCAAGCTCATGGTTTCCCACAGTCCAGTTCTAAGCAGTCCATCCTAGAAACGACCCAGAGACCTGCAACTATTGTCAGGTAGGCATGCAGACAGGGACACCATGGGAGCCCCCTAGAATCAACTCTCCTGAAGACCAAAGAGAGCTTTCTGTGGAGATGGGGAGTTAAGGCAGAGTTCAATGTCCCCTCTTCCTGGAGATCAACAGGAGACTGTATAAACATCGTCAGGACCTCTGTAAATTTGAGGGTGAAGGAGGCTACTCACAGTCCTGGAGGTAGGCGGGGCTGAGGGGCTAGTCAGTGACACCATCTCCTGGATGGCCAAGCGGAGCTTGAGCCGGTGCAGGGCATTGCTGATGCCGATTTCCCGCTGGATCTCTGTGTCCGACAGGGCGGACATGATGGCACCACTCTTGACATTGGCCCGACAGGCCGCCACATACCAGGCAGGCATTCCTACCCAGAGCTGCAGACATGGGAGCACAGGGAGCAACTCAGCATCACTAGGATGGTTACTCCTAGGGCAGCCTGATGGAAGAGTCAGTCGGCCTGTGGAAGACTGATGCCTCTATAAGCTGCTCCCTTACTCTTGGTATGACACATACGTGTCTATCTGGGAGAAACACTCTGGTAAAGGTATAGGGACATCATGTCTGCTGCTCAGGAGTCCTCATCCCACCAAACAAAGGTGCAAAGCAAACCCCAAGAGCAGACACAAGAGACTTAAGCTCAGAGAGGACCATCTAGACTTGGGTGGGGATGGGGAGACCACACACGGTCTTCCCTCGAGACCCCCGAGCATCTCCCCTGCCCAGGCTCACCTCCAGCCAGGAGACCACCGTGGGGCCATCCCATTGAGCAAAGGGCATTCCTTTTCGGCGAGCATCTTCAAGCAGCTGGTGTCTTGGGGGGAGGAACAACAGGCTCACTAGTCTTTTTTTCTCTCAACCAGGCTGACTCCTGGGGACCACTCCAGGCTGGGCCAAGAGCTGGCATTCGTACTTCCCCAGCTCCCCACCCTTGAATTCTTCTGCTCTATGCCTGAAGCAATCTGAAACTTCGAAGTGGGGCAGGAACACCCTTCATGCCCACAGTGCTCTCACACCTCACACACACTGACTTAGCCATCTCCATGTGCCCTGGAAGAGAACCACGGGTCCCAGATTACTCTCCAACAGCCCTCTTGCTTCCTGTTCCCTAGGATCATCCTAAGACCCTGTTCTCAACTCAGGGCCGCTCAGATATGCCCACATGGACCAAGCCTTGCTGGGCTCTGTCTCTCTGAGATCAATCTATGACAAGACATAGGAAGGAAAGCAGCTGGGTGCCTGGGCCACCTGAGGTGGCCTGAGGCTCTTACTTCTTTTTCAGTCGCCGGTCCTTCTCTGCCTGGGTCCCAAGCTTGGCAGGTACCAGTGGTTCCTGAAGACTGAGCTCGGAGTCTGTGAGCAGAACTGAAAGGAAGACATGGACATGTCAACAGCCATTTTGCTTCTGCCTCAGCCTGGACCAAGAAAGCAGGGAATTAACAACAGATGCCTCCTCGGCACAGAGCACCCCAACCAAGTCTGAAGGGTCCCCACTTATTCCCTGGGCTGTCTCCCAAAGTCTTTGCACTACAGGCAGCCCCAGAGTGACACCAGTTGGTTTATCCCCTGGGGATCCTCAGCCCTAGGAAGTGCTGTCTAGAGGGATGGACCAGAGTTGTCCCACTCTAGAATCCTAGACAGAGCCCCTGACTTCTCTAAGTCAGGGTGTGAAACACACCCCGGGTAAATATGAATAGACACAGACAAGATTTCAGGAATAACTACCCTGACTTGATAAACTCCTGGGCTATACGCAATGCACACCCCTCTTTCTCTCCCTGTCTCCCTCTCCCCACCCCCGCCCTCCCGTGTGTATCTGTCTCCCTCTGCCTTTCCGTCTCTCTCCGCGCCCCCACACACGTTCATTTCATAGCAGTCTCGCTCTACGTATAACTCACTGCACACACACACACACACACACACACATACACTGAGTATGCTCTTGCACACCAGCCTCTTTCTCCAGGTGCATCCACTTGCACAGACTACAAAGGGGAACACTCGCCACTCTCTCCTATGGACAGTCTCCCAGATTCATGATGAAACCCTGGAGAATTCCCGAGAGAGGGCATTGTCACTGACGTCACTGCAAGCCTGGCCGCTCTGGCTCACACGGCAGCAGAAGTGGAGAGGGCAGAAACTACTCCAAGACACTGACAAGCTTAAGTGTCAGCGCTGTGCAGGGAGAAAGAAATCACAGCTTCTCACAACGCGCCTCTGCCACCAAGCAGACTTCCTCAGGCTGGCTCCGCCTGCCCTTCTTGCCTGCTTAGCAGCAACACCCACCCTCCCAATCTTCCTCTTCACTCAGATAGCTGTGTTCTGATTCACACCTTGCCTTCCCGGGGATGTGAAGTCAGGGAAGGTCTATTATGCACTTAGGTCCAGACTTCCTTCTGATCAAGTCCCTCCCCCACTGCTCTGGGGGACTCAGGAGCTGGTCTGGGCTAGCCATCATTCCTCTGCTCCCACCTTTCCACCTCTTCCTCCTCTACTCAAAGACAGTGGCACACACAAGCCTCTTCCCCACATCTTTCCCTTCCTCAAGCTGCACCCTCCCACAATATCCCCTTCTCACCTTAGCTAAATTCTGTAAATCCACAAGCCTCAGCTCAAGAGCTGCCCAGGGAATAAAACCTGTCATCATCCCCAGATCCTCCACAGACAGCTACTGCTGGGTGCTGAAGCACCCAGACCATCTCTACTATCACAGTGTTATGAAATAATCTCCTTGTTTTCCCCATTTTATCAACTGCCAGGCCCCCTGGAGAGCTATGGTGCCACCCCTTGTACTGTGCTGAGCTGGGGTTACTCAGTGTGTGAACAATGGCTGGGGAAATGATGGGAAAAAGAGGAGGGAGAGAAAGGGGAAGAAAGGAAAGAAGCAGTGGAGCAAGGAAAGGAGAAAGCAAACGTTTCTGGTGTGCCTCCCACACGCCAAGCATGAATGAAGCTTTGCGCCACCATATGGTGACAGAAGAGTCACCCCTGCTCAACCACTTTCTCCAGGAAAAATGCTACTAGGCCTGAGAATCCCAACACTCAGGATGCAGAGGCAGAAGGATTACCACGAGTTTAAGGCCACCTTAAACTTAGTAAGTACCAGGCCAATGAAGGCTACATAGCAAGACTCTGTCTCATACATTCACATGCACGCACACACATACACACACACACACACACACACACACACAAGCAAATAAACAAAAAACAACAACAAATACATTAAGCTATAATTAGAACCCAGTCTGATAGCTCAGGGCTATAATCCCAGCCATTGAGAAACTGAAGCAGAAGGATCATAAGTTCAAGGCTAGTATGGACTACAGAGTGAATTTCAAGGCCAGCTTGGACAACATAGTGAAACCCACTCTTAAAATAAACAAAGGGCTAAGGGAGATAGCCCAATGGCAGATCACTTGCCTACTATTTGGGAGGCCCTGAATTCAATCCCTTGTCATGAAATAAACAAACATAGCAGATTTCATCCTGAGTCCTGTGGAAACCAGATGTGCTTAGAAGCAAGTTCTAATGGAGATCCAACTCTTAGGAGCTAGGACAGTTGCCCTGCAGGTCCTGTAATGCACATCAGGAAAGTTCTAGAGTGGAAGCATCTGCAGGGAGCCAACATTGACTCCATATAGACTCCCCACTGTGGAATGCCAGGTCAGTGGCCACCAGCCACTGCCTGGCACTTTTAGGCACAGGAACCCACCACCTCCTGAGGTAACCCAGCCCAGCATGACACAGCTCTAAGAAAACCTCTGTCTCTCCAGTCAAAAGTTGTTGGTGTTTGGTTCATATCCAAAAACCCAAGAGACAGGCAAACAAGGCCGGACAGAAGCAGATCCTTCCACTGCTGAAGTCCCAGTGCCCACCCAGCCCTCTGCTGGGAAGGGGGCAGAGACCATGGCCTGTGGCATCCCGGCTCAGCTGGATCAGCCTGCCCTTCTCCTTCTTCCCAAACAGACGGCCAATGGATGACTTGATGCCCTTGCGCTTGGCACCTTTGTGCAGCGAGTCTTGGCTGCTGTTGCTGCTGCTGGGGTTGCTGTCCTGACCCTCCAAGGCACTACAGGATGACAGGCAGGAGGGGGTGAGTAAGTAGAAATATACTTCAATGACAGCAAGAGAGGCGGAAGTCAGAGCTCAGGAAGGGGTTGAGCATCAGTGCTGGGGTGGGGGTGAGGGGTGTGGCCAAAGCAGGTGACCAAGGAAGATGTGGGAACATCCATCCTTGATGGTGTCCCAAAGAGAAATGAAGCAGTCAAGCACCTGAGGCAGGTGAGACGCAGCCCCTCGGAGGCTGTGGGCCCGAGACCGCATCTGCAGTCTACCCCACTTACCTCTTGCCTTCTTCTTGACTCAGGGCTGGGTGGCCAAGTTTCTCTAGTCGCAGCGTCCTGGGTGAGGAAGGAGGAGAAGTCTCACATTTTATGGTGGCTTTATCCTCTCGGTTCTCTTCCCGAGACACTGGCGACTGAACAGACAGTGGGGTTGTCAGGGGGTAGAGGAAGAGAGCTGGGGGCCTGCCTACCCAGCCCAGACAAGGCAGAGGATCAGAGAACCGGAGAACGCAGCAGAGGGGCCCGGTGGCCTCTCAAGGTAAAACTCGGACCCCAGGGCTGGGGACGGAGGCCCAAAGAGAAGGGCCTGGGAGCTGGTAACCCTCCAGTGCCTGGGTGAAAGGAAGCACTCACCAGCAGCTTCCTCCTATGTTTTCTTAGGTCGCTGGGCTGAAAAAGAGAAAGAGAAGAGGGCGAGCCTGCTTAAGGTGGCAGCAGAGGAGCCAGGGACTCACACCAGCCTGGGGAAAGTACCACAGCAGAACAGAGCACCTGGAAGGATAAATCATGGCTCCCTTGAGGAAGAGAGCAGCTGGACAACGGGCATGGCTCTAAGCCTTCTGTCATCATCCAAGGAGGGAGCAGGGAAGATGTTACAAACCCTTTCCTACCCAGAAGGTCGTGCTGCTGACCTCATATGTCATGTCATGGGGGAAAGCATGCCAGCGTGATGGAGAAAGACCAGGCCTCCCATGTAAACTCCCCAGCACAGGCTTATGGTCCCCAGGCCTCTCAAACACCGCACAGACTCACCAGGGTCATGACCCCCATTCGGTCCAGATCCTGGGCAGCACTTCGAGAGGTGAGCTTGGGTGTGGAGCGGCCACTGAGTGGAGGAGATGCACTGGCCAGGGAGAGGGCGGTCAGAGAGGTGGGAATAGAGCCGCGCTTGCGCAGCTGTGTCAGGTTGAGGGCCTCCATGCTGCCGCTAGTCACACGGGTCTCAATCTCCTCAGCACGTAGCTCAGTGGACTCTTTCTCCTCCTGGATCATCCTGCAGGTCAGCAAACCAGATCTGGCCATTAGTCCAGAAGACCAGGCAGGAGATGGTTCTAGTTGCTTGTACTCACCACCCTAGTACCAAAGGTAGGTAAAACCTAAGGCACCACCGGGTTTCCATGGTCTCTCTGGCTAGCCACCTTCCCAGCTGAACGAAAGCCATTTCTAGGAAGAGGCATGTTTGTCAATGAACTATAAATCATCTCAGTGGGAATCCCTGGCCTGCCCTGGCCACAGGAGTGACCCTGAGCTGGCTCTTTGCTCTCTTGTATCTCAGCTTCTCAAAAGATGCCATATTTGGGCTCATCTTTGTCAGGAGTGCGCAAGCAGGGTTGTTGTTTTTTTTTTTTTAATTAATGCCAGCCCCTAGTGATGTTTCCTCTGTTCTACTGAGAATGAGAGACACAGGGAGGTGGTGTGTTGTGCCTGAGGGGTGCGCAGAGAGAGGGGTATATGCACATTTACACACACCGACGGAAAGGCCACAGCTGTGCTTCAAAGAGAGGAATGTGTTCTTACTCTGAGATAACACCTCTCCCACTCCGAAGCCGTTCAAATGCCTTTTCTTTGGGGGGGGGGAGGAAATGGTTGTGATGCTGAACAAGAGCTATGCCTACGGCTGTGATGATGAACAGGAGCTCTCCCTACAGCTGTGATGATGGACAGCAGCCATCCCTAGCAGCTAGGCAGTAGGACACACTACCTTCATCCCACGGCATCAGCATCTCTGGAAGCCAGCTGAAAAATGGGCCAGAGAAGGGCTCTAACACAGCCTCTCTGATCCAGGACCCCAGGGTCCCCCTTGGGGCTATGTTCTAATCACTGCCTATTTTATACGGAGCTCCTGGGTGACTGCTGTGTTCTTGTAAACAGCAAAGAGCCAGGAGAGGTAGAAAAGGAGAGGCCTCAGACTGTGATCAGATTCACCTGCTTCCTACATGCCTGCCTCCTCCCTACATGCCTGCCTCCTCCCTACATGCCTGCCTCCTCCCTACATGCCTGCCTCCTCCCTACATGCCTGCCTCCTCCCTACATGGCTGTGATGATGGACAGCAGCTATGCCTACGGCTGTGATGATGGACAGCAGCTATGCCTACGGCTGTGATGATGGACGGCAGCTATGCCTACAGCTGTGATGATGGACAGCAGCTATGCCTACGGCTGTGATGATGGACGGGAGCTATGCCTACAGCTGTGATGATGGACGGGAGCTCTCCCTACGGCTGTGATGATGGACAGCAGCTATGCCTACGGGTGTGATGATGGACCTAGCCCTACAGATTACTCTGTAGAGTTAACACTGGAGTCTTGTTTTAACATGTGTGTCTTGATGCTGATTTCTCAAATTTGGAAGTCTGACCTCAGCAGCCTGTCCATTTTACCTCACTGCATGACAGTGACATAAATAAGCCCACTAAGAAGGGCAGGATAAGGTAGGGGTTTCAACAACTTCCTCTGCTTCTATCTGTCATCTCCTTAGAGATGAAACGCATGCAACCGGGGCATCTCTACCTGAGCTTGGATCCTGACTCAGCCACTTATCGTGACTTATAGTGACTTTGAGCAAGTCACTATACTCTCGTCAACTGACTGTAACACTGACGAAGCTCCCACCCTTAGCTGGCTTTGTCACAGTCGGACTGAATACCAGGAGCACAGGCAGCTCTATCTTCCCAAGCCCTGCCATCTCCCAGCCTGGAGAGGAAAGACGTCACCAACAGTCATCTGTAGCCCTCACCCTCTAGGATCAGTATTAGTCCAAACCCTTGTCTGATGCCCATAAAGCATCCCAGGATTGTAGTCCTAAACTGTAAGACAGGACAGAAGCCAATACTTTAACTGTGTGCCTCAACACAGAGGGCCCCGCCTCCCAGGCACCTTGCAAACTTCACCCCTACCCCACCTGATCTCCTGGTTGATGGCATCCAGCTGCTCCTGCAGCATCATGGCCAGGGTCTGGGCATCAGAGTGGCCACCAGGTGAGACGACATCAACTTGAGTGCCCACCAAGCCCCCAGGTTCGTCCTCATCCACATCAGAGATCTCAGGGTCACTGTCAAAGGCAGGGGTGGTGGTGGCCAACACCCCTGGCAGTGGTGATGCCTTCCAGTCCTTAGCAAACAAAAGGAGCAGCAATAAGATCCCCAAATAGCTAGGCAGTAGGACACACTACCTTCATCCCACGGCATCAGCATCTCTGGAAGCCAGCTGAAAAATGGTCCAGAGAAGGGCTCTAACACAGCCTCTCTGATCCAGGACCCCAGGGTCCCCCTTGGGGCTATGTTCTAATCACTGCCTATTTTATACGGAGCTCCTGGGTGACTGCTGTGTTCTTGTAAACAGCAAAGAGCCAGGAGAGGTAGAAAAGGAGAGGCCTCAGACTGTGATCAGATTCACCTGCTTCCTACATGCCTGCCTCCTCCCTACATGCCTGCCTCCTCCCTACATGCCTGCCTCCTCCCTACATGCCTATTTGCTTGCTTTTTCTTTATTCTGCCTTCCTTCCTTTCTTCCTTCCTTCCTTTTTCTTTCTTTCTGGGGACTTGCCATGTTGCCCCAACTGGCTCACAATCCTCCTGCCTCAGTTTTCCAAGTATGCTAATACACCTACTCACCAAACTCAGCCCAGGTAATTCTCAAAGATGAAGGAAGATAAGTCTTCCCCCATCAGATTAGTGTTCCCTCCTTCTCCATCCACACCTCCTAGAACCCCAGGACGTGTGAGGATTAACAACTGGAGGGCAGTGGCTCTCTTCTGCTCCTTAGCTTCTCCCACTGTCGGTCGTCCAGCCTCCCCGCCACCTCCCTGGGGCAACTCAGAAACTGGCAGCTGCTTCTCAGGTGCCATTCCCCAGGGCCAGCTAATCTGTCATTGCTCCCTCCTTTCCACTATAAGCCACACTTTTGTTCCAGGAAGCTTGTTAATTCCATTTTGCCCCTGCAACCCTCTCTTGGTCACCAGAAATGAACAATGCACACCCAGGCACACGCGCACAAGCTGTAGTGGGGCCTCAGGGACCACTGGCCGTCTTCCACCCCTACCTCTCGCCCACCAGGAGGTTGAGGAAAGGGGGGGCGACAGCTGTTGCAGCTGACAAGAGCCCCAACCCCAAGGCTGCAGCTGTCATTGACAGGGGAGAAGTCCGGGCAAGGCTTTGCACCACACGCCAGTCGTCTGTGTAACTGGAGCCAGACACACGGCCGAACTAACCCCAAACTCCCCAGGGAGACCCACACACACATCCCTCCACCGCTTACCTTGGCAGACTCTTCCCTCAGCACCGCATAGCGCCGATGCAGACCCGGGGGTGCGTGTGTGGCTGCACTCAGAGAGAACCGCACGTCTGATGCACTGCCCACGTGTGACCTTGAGTGGCAGGAGGGAAAAGATGAGCCCTGAAGACTGACAGCCCCAGCTTACACTCAGAGGGCCCCACGACTGGGGAATGGCCAGTTTGGAGAGAAGCAACCTGGAACACAGCTGTCTCAAACATCAGAAGAGCTGCCATGGAAGCCCAAGGCTCCACTTACGCCCTGGAGCTCAGGGGTCAAATTGACCCGGGGGAAAAGCTTAGGGAGCAGTGGTCCATTCTGCATAAGCAGGATCTCCTCCTGACAAGAAGTGGATTAGGATGCTTTCAAAAAGTTGAGCTCCCTGTCAGAGGAGCATTCAAGTGGAGGACCTCAAGCTTTGTGACAGCAGCCATGCAGGATGGCTCTTGGCCTGGGGGACAAAGAGGAATCCAAAGAGATGAGCTTCTGGGGCCTTTTAATTCTGAGGCTCTTCACTTCTGGTGTTCTCTCTAGCAACCCTCTCCAGGCCTCCTGACAATCTGAACTGAACACCTGGATAAAATTCAACCCAGATGTGTCATTTGCATCCCCAGGAAGCCCTGGAGAACCTTGTAGCAACATCACAGGTACAGGCTAGAGAATCCATTCTGCCTTCCCCAGATGTCTGTTCCAGGCACAGATTTTAGGGTCCCAGGGCTAATGTCTGGGGTATCTAGAAGGCCCCTCTGCGACACTTCCACTCTGTCTTCTCAGCTCAGAAGCCTTGATGGAGCCCAGTACAGAGAAGCAATGGAGCCTACAATCCATATCGTGCAGCTGGGAAGAGGGAGCTCCTACCCAGCTCCCCCACCTCAGTTCTGTGAAGAGTCCAGTGACTCTATGGACAAAGCCAAGAACTCCTAGTCAGCAAGGAAAGCAAGCAGTAGCAAAGGCTTGGTGAGCTCTGGGTCAGTTCTCACTCAGTGAGAGCCTTCTCCATCTGGTCAACCAACAGGAAAGGAGAAATTGGAACAATCCCAGCTCCCTTCTCTTCATCCCTCTCCTGATACAAGAGTAGAATTCCCGGTGAACTTCCATGTCTACCAGCTCAGACCTCCAGAGCCTCTCACCTCCAGTCCAGCATCCTTTTCCCTCACCAAAGAGCACTGTCCATCCACACACATACATGTAGGCTTAGTCACCTTCCTAATAGCTAATGTCCACTTCCCTGACGCATCAAGAGCACGGGATGAAGGGAATGGCATGTCTAAGAGACTCTGACTTACAGAGACAGCCAGGAACTGAGAACATTCAGCAGTAGCATCCAGTCATTTTGCTCCTCAGCCTACCTCGCTGAACTGAAAACTGAGTTCAGTGCCAACTGCTTCACACAGTACGGCTGCAAGCCCCACTCAGCACATCTTACAGTGCTTTTGGGTAAAGGGATGCCGTGGCCACAGGAGTAACACAGCATCTCAACTTCCAACAGGAAGGAGCATTGCTGCTCCATTTCACTCCCCCCCCCATGTCTCTCTGTCCGCTGGCTCCTACTTGAACTTGGGTGGTCCTCGGCTCTCAAACAGCAATCCTAAAAATGGTGTCTCAAGAACTCCAGTGAGAAGTAAACTCTACAGAGGGCCCTGTGGGATAGGGAGAGGGGGTGACCTCTGGCAAAGATCCCAGAAGCACACACTACTCCCACAGCGGAGAAGCAGCACCATTAATTCCTTGCCTTTCAGCGCCCCCTGGAGGACATGTGCTCCCTTCCTAAGCTGAAGGACTGGCCAAGAGCTCTGAGCCCCAGTGTCCCATCCTGAATAGAAGAAAGACTCTGAGGTCCTGGGCAATGTTTTGGTGAGGGACTCTCCTTTCTCAAGGTCCACCCAGGACCAGTACCCAGCATGCACTGAATCCCATCCTTTCTCAAGGTCCATCCAGGACCATTACCCAGCATGCACTGAGTCCCACACTCTAGTACCTGGAGTGGATGCCATCTACAAACGGCCCCCCTCGGCCCTTCAGTTGGTCCACCTCTTGGCGCAGCTTCTCAATCTCTTCAGACAGGCGACCCTGTGCCAGGCAGATCCAGGGTGGGACGGGGCCAGGGAGGGGCAGAGAGGGAAGAGTGGAAGTCAGAGAGGGGCAAAGAGGCACTAGAGCTGTGGAAAGTAGAAGAATGCCCTGCAGAGTCCAAAGTCAAGGGCCCCACACGGGGCCCAGATGACAACAAAGAAAGAAGCGTGACTGGAAAATGAGCAGGGGATTGACAGAGGGGCCAAGCCAGAAACGGACCCTGCCTAGAGAAGACGTCTACAGCCAGTTGACCCCTCAGTGCCAGACAAATGCAAGGCAAGGCAAATGGAGCCGGGCAGCAGAGAGGACCAGGCTTTTGTGACACACACTGCTAAGGCCAGTGGCTGCAGCTCCCAGCATGTAGGACTCTGTCCAGAGTAGAGCCAACCCCATGGTAGATATCAATGACCTCTGTTTCTCCAGCCTCTGCATGGATAAAGCGTATGCACAGTCAGTAGCTTCTGTGTTGGGCAACAGTGGAGGGCGATGGTATGATGTGTGCATGAACTAAGAGAAGCCAGCATCGAGCAGCTGCGCGAACACCAGGCATCGTGCCTGGGGCCCTCCCACGCGGGCAGGGCTAGCCAGCAGCTAGGTACCCTGTGGTAGTGCAGCTCTCCTATGTCCTGCTGGGAGCTCTCCAACTCCTGTACCAATGTGTTCTGAGGGAGGGCAGCTGTGAACCGGGAGCCCTGACTGGCCAGTGACCCTGCTCTCAGTCACCTCTCCAAGCCCACCCCTCCAGGACAGCATGACCTTCCCTGACCGGAAACGCTCCTCCTTTCCCCAGCTGTGGCCCAGGTGACCTTTATTTACTGCTGTCCTTTATATTCCCTGCACCCTTGTCACACACATCCCAGGCCTACTCCTCTAGCCAGCTGGGCTCCACCTTGACTCGGTCCTTTCAGGCAGCCATAGCCCCATGCTCACCCTGTCCACCCAGTGTACCCAAACCCCCTCACCTTCTCCTCCAGGGCAGCCATTCGTTCCTTGAGGTGGAGCTGCAGGCGCTCATTGGACTCACTGAGCAGACGGTCCACGGTGTCTGACAGTCGCTTGTTGTGGTCTTCGTTCATCTTCTCCCGCTGACGTACCTGCACAGCCCACCCATCTTGTGCTAGGCCACCTCAAGACTTTGTCACCACCCTCCTCCAGAACCATCCATTTCCACCCGGGTTCTATGCCTACCACTGTCCCCTTATCTGCCCTCAGGGACTCTTCAGTTCTTCCAACCAGCTCCTCCCTAACTGTGAGCCACCTCTTGCCCCATGCAAGCTCTTTCCCTGGCCATCCCTTCTTCTGTGTCCCTCCACAGACCATCCCATATCCTGCCCTGGAGACAGAGGAGGCCAAGATGACTGGCTGGTGCCCTCACCCTTGCCAGCTCCTGGTTCTTCTCTTCCAGCTGCCCTTCCAGCTGTCGCAGGTGTTCCTCAATGTTACCATGACGTTCCTCAGCCTAGGTGCAGGGACAGTCAGCCAGCCACCTTGGAGATCTTTGTTCCTTCTGCTCAAGCCCCATAGGCCACATACCCTGGTGTCAAGGCGGTCTTGGGGATCAGGGTCTCAGGTGCCACAGAAACCAAGCTCCATCCTGCCATCTTGGAGCAGGCCCATTGTCACCTTTGCCCATCTCCTTCCTGCTCAGAGCTAACCTTAAAATGTATGCCCATCGGACCCTCGCAAGGACTAAAGGAAACATCCCTGGTAAACGTGGAAGTACAAGAAGCATGCCATGATGCTAGCCTCACGATGGCTATTACCTATACTACTAAAGAAGTCCAGGTGAAGCTTCTCCCTTCCTGAACACTATTTCCAGAGATGGAGGCCCTGTCATGTTCTGCTTACAAGGTCCCCAGAACTTTGCATCCCTTACAGTCAGAAAACCCTTCCTTAAGATCCCACTGCTATGACTCACTGGAACACATTAATCCCGCAGCCCATCCCTTCTTCTCAGTTTTTGCTCAGCATCCCACACACAGAATCCTCTACTGTAATTTAAATCTGGCGCCCAATTGGAGGTCTGAAAAGACTGCACTGACTACCCTAGCCAACTCCACCATCAGAGGTCACGAAACTGAGGCCCAGCTAGGGAGACGTTAACTTCTCTCAGGTCACAGAGCCAGTCAGAGCAGGAGCAGACGTGGCCCTGGGTCTTCAGAGGCACAGTCAAGGCCGTAAGCAAAGCTGTACGTCCAGTCCTTGGGGCAGCCATCTGCCACACTAGAAGTCTCTAAACATCAAGCTCTGGGTCAGGCTCCAGGGTCTGGAGGTAGCTGCGGTGATCACACATTAGCACCACCTCCGGAAGCTTCCCGCCAGTTAGGACTCCTAAATTCCTTGATTACAATACCATATCTGTAGGTCCATGCACTTACTCCTCTCTTCCAGAGTCCACTGTTTCTAGCCTGCACACCTCTCGGAGACTATTGCCACAGAAAGCTACCTCTCCATTAGGTAGAATTATATCCACCTTTAATTCATCCTACAGCTACAGCTTTTCAGGCAACCAGAGCTGGCCTCTGTGTCTAGAATGTTTCAGTTTGGTAAAGAAAGATGCACTCAGCCTAAAATTCTACCTGCTGCCCCTTCAGGGATATGCAAATTTTAATGGTATCTCCTCTGGGGTTTCATCTTTCCAGATGAAAATCCTATAACCCCAAACAAAAAGATGTATCAGCTGGAAAAATACAGATGATGGCTAAAGTGCCCTGTGTCCATGTAGTGGTCTCTCCTTAAAGGACTCGCCCTAAGCCAGGTGGGGGTGGTACACCCTTTAATCCAAGCACCCAGGAGGCAGAAGAAGAAAGATCTCTGAGTTTGAGGCCAGGCTGGTGAACAGAGTTACACAGAGAAATCCTGTCTCAAAAAACGCCCCCACCAAAAAAAAAAGAGGGGGGAGGATTCTTCCTTGAGAGGTAATGAGGGCAAGGATTACTCTTCCAACTGAGAGACACAAGGTAGTGTGTGTTTAATGTCTCACATTGGGGAGCAACTCCCTGGCCTGGCCTGGCCCAGCCTGATATGCCTCCCTCTCTCCTCATAGTCTGCCTGGCTCCGCAAGAGCCTCAGACACAGGAGATGGTGAAGATCTCAAACCCCTGGCCCACTTGCCTTGGTGAGGGCCGCAATCCTCTGAGCCAGCTCAGCCTCCACCTCTGGCAGAGTCTCTGCCTTACGCATTGTCTGCTGCAGCTTCTGCTCAGCCACTTCCAGGAGCTCCTGCAGGTGCCGGGCCTTCTCCTCACACTGGTAGTACAGAGAGGAAAACAAGTCAAGAAAGAATGCCAGGTCCCCTCCTCCACCCCAGCCTCAACAGAGAGCAGGTGGCCACCAAAAGAATCTTGGTTCTTTCCTGTCCAAGGCGCCAGACTTCCTCTTCCCCAAGTGAACTTGCAGAATCCCAGGGGCTCCTGGCCACCAAGGAATAGTTTCCACAGGACCATCAGGACCCCTAGGGTCAGATACAATGTCACCCCACTCCATCTAGTGGAGTTACCTGGCGGTGCAGGGACTCCTTGTTAGCCAGCTCATTCTCTAGTTTGTCATTGAGGTCATGGATGGATGTGGCTTCTCGCTGGGCAGCCAAGTAGCGCTTCTCCAGTGTGGTGATCCGCTCTTCCATGTCCTCCTTCTGAGCGAGAGCCTGGTGGAGTGGAGGGTATAAGGAGGAGGGTCACCCGTTTTTCTCTGTCCATCACATAGCTGCACCTCCCCGACAGACGCAGTTGCTGGGAGCAGGCCTGGGCCCTTGCCCACCTCTCGGAGGTCCCGCTGATGCTTGCTGCTCAGCTCCTCAGACTTTATGAGGTCTCGGCGGGCTGTGCCCAGGTCCTCCTCAAGCTCAGTCACAGTTGCACTCAGGGTGACCAGTCGCTCACGGGCCTGGCTCAATTCATAGTTCTGCTTCTCCAAGAGTCCTTGTAGCTCTTCCACCCGGCCAGTGTCATCCTCCAGGGACAGTGGACCATCAGCCAAGGAGCCAGAGAATCCCACACCCCACCCTGCTCCATCCCAGGGAGGCTGGGAGGAAGGAGCACATGCCCACAGGTCACAGCTCTGTCCACACATTAGAGCTCAGGTCCAGATATACTTTCTTCCCTCTGAACCAAGAAGCTCACTCCTGATAATGGACAAACACCCTCACTCTTCTATGCTATCTCTAGCTTCTAGTTTTTCCTTTTAGCTCTGCCTCTTGTAACCCAGGAAGGGACAGATTAAAGGAAGAAAGGCTCAGAGACAGAAGGAACCCTGCCTGATTTTGACACACAAAGAAGATGTGTGGACGTGTGCACTATACGCATCAGCACTAAACTGAAAATCTATAGATTACTTTGCTACTTTGCTAGGAAGTGAGGAGGAGAAAGAAAAGCAGGAATATCATGAAGAGCCTCAAGTCTAACTCAAGCAGTATCCTACTGAACCTAGGCATGCAGAACCTCCCATTCCTGTCTTGGGGACTCCAGGCTCCTTCTGAACAACTCCCCATTACCCACTTTCCACAGGCGTTTTGGTCCCAGCTCCATGGCCCCTTCTTCTTCTGCCACTCCATCTCGAACTCCTGCCCCCTGCTGCAGGGCAGATACCTAGAAAACACAGCAACCACCACCCCCCCCAAAAAAATAATAAGTCAAAGAAGAGACTTCCTGCACATTCCACACCTCCTGGGAAGACATGCCTGGCCTAGCTTCAGCTACCGGCGCCCAGCCACAGCAGGCAGAGATCTGAGGAGCACGGTGAAACAGAGAGGGTAGGCAGTAAGCCGGATTTCTCAGACCTACAGGGCAGACCCAGTAGGGCAGCTTACCTGCTGGTGAGCTCCTGCCAGCTGCTCCTCTAAGGTGGTGACCCGCTCTAGAGCTGCCCGGAGCCGTTCTCGTACCTGCCCAGGGGAAGGAGAGATGGAGGGAGAAAGCTTGGCCCCCACAGAACTTACACTGGGGCAGCATAGGCTCCGTCTGCCTCTGTCAGGCATGGGAAAACACTGAGGGCCTGTGGAGAGGCAAAGGCCCCAGAGAGAACCTAGTAGGGCTGGAAACTAGGCCAGTGGTAGGAGAGGTCCTGGGGCTGGGGACAAGTTCCCTGACACCAAGTGTGGAGATCACAGGAAGGAGCACAGGAGACTCAGGGAAGCCTGGATGGAATGGGAGAAGGGGAGAGTAGGTGGGTACCTTTTCATCCAGGGCCTTGTGATGCTCAAATAATGACTTAAGGGCCTTCAGCACCTCCACCTCACTGGAGACACCCGAAGGGGACTGGGCCTGGCGCTTTACCACCGTCATCCGCAGCGACCGCTCATGGCGGGACACCAGACATTCCAGATGTTCCAGAAGCAGCTGGCAGAGAGCAGGGGAGGGCAGGAGGGAAGACAATGGACTTGGGCCCCAGGAGCTACAAAGCAGGGCCCACAGAGTCACAAAGTACAACGCTCTCAATGAACACCAGACCCAGACCCCAGCCGGGCTGCCCTGGCCTCTTCCACAGAACTTCAACCCTGCTGAGACTAAGGAACCACAAATAAAAACCCAGTACTGGGGACTAAGTAGTTTTCCCATGACCCCAGGATGGGAGGCAGAACCCATCTAGCCAAGGTGTTTGGTCAGGGTGCGCGCACGCTCACACACAGACACAGACACAGACACACACACACACACACACACACACACACACACAAGAACGCCCCTTACTTACCCTTGTATTATTCCGTTCTGCTTTCAGCTCAGATATCTCTTCCTCCCGTTCCAGAAGCTGCTCCCGACACATGCTTAGCTCCCGAGTTAAAGTGGCAAATTCCTGAAAGCCCCCAAAACCCACAGTGCTTCAGATTCACCTCCAACTGGTGCCCTGAACATTCAAATATGTGGCAGGCTTTTCTCATTCACCCCTTATCTGCCCACGTCCCTCAAATCCCGGCCTGTCCCCGTTGCAGAGCAGGAAGCCTGCAGCTAGTGCGAGCTTCCCAAGGGAAAGCACATATTAGGATTCCAGTGAACAGGACTGCACACAGAAATGATTAAGTCACCAAGTCGACCCTGTAAGGCCTGCCTCTCCAGCCATCAGTGACCAGATTACACGCTCCCTCCCACTCTGTCTTTGTAATCCTTCAGCAGCTCAGTAGCCGGCTCCTTTGGAATCATGGAGGGCAGGGCCACTGCGTGTCTGGTGGAAGGAGGCCCATACAGAGACTGACAAGAGTTAGGAAGAGGAAAGAAGGGTGCTATACAGCTCACACGTGCATGCTTCCCAGGAAGCTCTCTGCCACCCCCTTCCCAGGACTGTGCAAGCTGCAGATGCCTGGTATAACACACAGGTTGAGAGCACACGGGCATGCAGCCCTGTGATGCAGTCCTGGCTTCTAGGAGCCCTGTTCAGTCCAGCCAGGCTTACAGTCCAGCATCTGAAGGCATATACTAACTGTCTCTGCCTAGGGGAAGCTCTCCCAACCCTGCTCTTCTATGAGGATAAGCAGCTAAGGAAGAGTGCATGGCCTTAGAGTTACAGGCTCATCACATCCCACTGGTTTGATGACATCATACCAGCCCCCCCCCAAAAAAAAATTCTCAGATGAGTAGCTGTTCCCTGTGGCCACAGAGTCTAAACATTACTGTAGAGGCTGGGCCCCACCTCTCCTCTGCAGCCCCCTTTAAACACCAAGAATTCATAACCACAGTTTGAATTCTCAAAGCAGCATCCCCTTATCCCTGCAGACCAGGCATTAAGCAGCAGAAGGAAGTGGCCAGGGCCCAGAGAGCAGAGCAGGAAAAACTGAGCCCTGTTCCTTGATTACTGCCTTTCTACCAAGGCCACAGCCAAAGTGCAGGGAAGTTAAATGTCTCATTATCTAGAAGCTGATGCTGCTTTGCCCCTCAGCTTACACACACGTACACACGTATGTACACACACACACACACACACACACACACCACCTAGAGAAAGGACTTGAAGGCATGCCCACACCTCATGATACCATACCATCCCTGATGGGCTATAACGCTGTCCTCTCCTCTGCCCCAAGCTAGGCAGCGACCTTCTTTCCCTACCCTAGGAAGCTGTGCCCTCCCTTTCTAGCCAATTCATCTGATAGCCTGCTGCCAGGAGAATCCCCCAAAGAACAATACTGTTTAGAAAGTTAAGCACAAACTCCTCCTAGTTTCAAACTCTTCTTTCCTGTCTTTTTCTGTGTACTCTAAGACCTAGACCACCTGTGTGAGTTACTGTCTCCAAACACCAACGAAACTTCTAAGAGCCACACCTCCACTGACCAGGGCTCCCCTGCACCCCTCTCCCACCCCTAAGGAGGTCACACTCTACTTTCAAAGGCTATCTGCACAGGGTTCAGCTGGCTCATAGGCTCCCTGGACTCCCCAGTGGAAGCATTCCTCCCTGAAAACCATCAGCTCCTTGTCAGTCACTGTGGGTAGGTGACAAGAGGCACGACCCCTCCCCTTGGAAGCTTCAAATGTAAAAGGCTGGGAAGACCTGGAATCAAATCACTTTCGGCTCTCCCACAGTTAGCTATGCAGCCTTGCTCATAATGCCCAGGGCTTGTGATAGACAAGGCAGGAGCAGCCCACATGCCCACCACTCCTCTCCAGCAGGGTCCAGATTCTTAGAGAGAAACCATTACAAGACTCTAGACCCCTAAGTTGAACCTGAGAAATCCAGGCCCAGCCCTGGTTCTCCCTAAATTTGGAGGAAGGACCTACAGCTGAAGCTTAGGTTATCTGGCATCTCCAGGCCACCTCCCCTAATCCAAGCAGCACCCACACTGGCTCAGGGCAGTCTGTGCCATGCATCCAAAGCCACCTCTGTCCTGAGAGGGCAGGGTGGCCAAGTAGACTATGTAAGTACTGTACAGACAGACAGACAAACCCCAGCCTCCCTGGACCTGGTGACCTGGCAGACCACAGCTTCTCCCACAAGCTGTAAGAGAGTTATACAACATGTAACTCACGTTCCTGTTCCTGTCTCGGGCCTCTACGCATCCCCACCCTACCCCAACCGCAGAACATCCACCCAACGGGTACTAAGGAGGAAACAACTTGGATTTCCAGAGCCCATGTGGTGAAGTAGAAATAAAATAGAACAAGACAGTGTCTTTGGGGTCTGGGGGTACACAACCCTCAAGCCACCACTTACTCCCTGCAAAGCGATGTGCAACTGAGTGATCGCCCTAGGCTTCGGTTTCATCGCTGTCGGCACCGGCTCCACGGTGAGAGTCTGCTGAGATAATCTCTACAGATGCCTAGCCACAGAAGGTGCGCAGCAAATGGTTACTAAGTTCTAGCTACTGGAGGTGTTGCTGAGGACCATGAACTGGCATGCAGGACACCTGGCTTCAAGGTTCAGCTCAGCCTACAACTATCTGTGTGAGATCTCGCTTTCATCTGTGCAGGAAGGACAGTGGAAAACATAGTCACCAAGGCCTCTCCCATCTCTTCCTTGATTCCCGCTCCTGGCAACTCTTGGTCTCTGGTGAGAAGCTGTTAGAAATGGGGTTTCCTTCCAGTCTAGTGTGCCACCTACTGGCAGTCTGGGCTCCCTACCGTTGGCAGTCAGCGCAGGATTTTCTTTCTGCATTCCTTTCTCCAGGTAAAGCCAATGTAGGCAGTGGCACTTAGGGAAAGGGTTTATGCAGGAACACGGAGATAAAACACTCTGTGAACTCCACTACCCGACACGCAAACAGATGAGGGACTGAGGCCCGAAGGTGCTGAATTCAAAGGAGCTGGGGAGGGAGAGTCTGCATTCTTACCTGGGGGAGGGCGGAGTTCAGGTGGCGCTGGAGCTGGTCTCGCTCGTGAAGGGCATCCTGGAGCCGGCTCTGGGTAGCTACCAAAGTTTCCTGACTCTCCCGAAGGGACTCCAGCAACTTCTCTCGCTCATCCAGCATGTTCACCATCAGTTGCTCAAAGTTGGCGTCAGCATCGGCACCATGGGGGGGCCCCAGGGGGTCCCCCTCATTGATTGTGGGCATCACCTCACACATGATGGGGATGGACAGAGCCTCTCAGCGTCAGGTCAGGGGATGGGGAGAGCTCACAGGGTTGGCACCTGCAGAAGGACCCAGGGCATGGGTCTCAGAACAGGCAGTGCCAGGCAAGTAGACAGGTGGGTAGGGGTTGCTCCCATGGCATCAGTTGCTCTTGCTCTGAAAGAAGCCTAGGGCCTGTAGTGTCCCTGTGGAATGGAGCCAGAAGGCCTGGCTTAACCCTTCAGGGCTGGGGCTGGGTGCCCTGTGTCCCCACACCAGCGGGAGGCAGCGGCGTGTGGCCATGACAGGCTGAGCGAGCCGGGCTGGGAGGCAGCCCTTGTCTTAGACTGAGCACCAGAGCTTGGCAGAATCCCAGCTGGGTCTAGCAACACCCATGGTTTCTGGAGGGCGGTGTGGTCTGTGGGAGAAGAGAGTGCTGTGAGGACCAGCTAAAGAGAGCAGGGCATCTGGGGAGGGGCAGAGGAGGCAGGCCCCGAACCAGAGAGGGAGAGGCTGGGGGTGCTGGCACATACCCCTCTCAGGGCTTACTTACCTTGGTGGCACCTCATTAGTTTTCCCAAAGAGTGCACATGCCTCCTGCCTAGCCTCTGTGCCTGCAGCCCCTGCCCCCCACCCCCTGCAGCTGTCAGAAGTGCAGCCGCAGTGGTTCCCCACCCACGTGGCTTGCTGGCCAAATATAGAAATGATTCAGTCAGCGGTAGGGGAGCAGCCGGCAGGCTGCCCAGAGTCCTCCTGAGACCTGAAGGTGGGAAGCAAGGAATGGGGTCTCTGGCCTCCCCCCCCCCATAGCATCCTCTCCTACATTCAAGCCAAGGCAGGTACACAAGGGGTTAAAAGGCTTAGAGGGTGGAAGTCCCACGGAGGCTGGACTCCCATGCATGACATGGCTGAAGTCTTGGAGAGGCATAGGCTGGGCACTGGGGCAGGCAGAGAGCCCTGACCTGCTAGGATGCTCATAATTCAGGGATGAGGCGGGCTTGTCATCACCCACTTCTGAAGTCTGCCAGCGCGAGTTTGTGCAAACCTAGTGGATTCACAGCCTCCAGCTCTTTGTTGGGGAGTGAATGACAGAGAAGACCCAGGTCTACACGGGGATGGGAATGCAGGTGATGCTTCCAGAGGGAGACCTTGTGCGAGGCTGCGTGCTCATGGCTAGGAATCTACTCCCTTGGCAGAGGTAATTACCTACTGCAGGTGCTAGCGGAAGTCACCAGCCAGGTCAGGAGCATATGCACAGCCCAGGGGCCCAGCGGTCACAGCAAAAGAAGACCGGACATGGAAGTTGGGATACAGCTGGGAATTCCTCTACCTACCATCATTTTCAACCTCCCTGCCTGGGGCTAGGCCACTGGCTTCATCAGTTCGCAGAGGGAGTATCTTCAGGTAGCCCACGTAAAGGCCCCAAGACCACAGTGGGTACACTGGAGACCTACATAAGTGGTGCTGTCCTTCCTGCCTCCCCCACCCCCTTTCTAAAGACATGGGGCAGCAATGTATACTTCAACAGATAGAGACAGGCAGCTTGGAGGTCAAAATCCAGTATGAGTGCGAGATCAGACACGGGCTTCCGGCAGAGCTGAGTCCATCAAAGATGGGGAGGAGGGGAGCAGGTAAGGAAGAGACCGAGAGGCAGCTAGAAAACCCCAGAGCTCTCAGCCATTTCCAGAGGAGCCACAGCTTAAGCCCGCACCACACACATGCACACGCACACATACATACATGCATCACACACACACAAACACACGCACACATATACGCACCATGCATGTGCACAAACACACACACACACATGCGCGCACGCGCACACACACACAGTAGGAGGGATCACATACACATCCTCCCAGATGGAAAAACAGCCATGAACTCTTCTCATGGGGATCCTTTCCGCCAGCTGGACCAAGGTGGAAAGTTGTGGTCAGGCAGCTCATGCTCCCTCTCCACTCCACCCCAGGGCAGCTGGGAACATGGGAGATGGAAGGCCACTCTGCTCTGATAAGCTGCCCTAGGGAATGCTAACAAGGGCAATTCCTCCCACCCAGGGCTTCAGAGCCCTTCACCCTGAGTGCTCCAGGCCCTGAGACTGACAGGCTCGGGCCCATCTTCCCTCTCCAGCCTTAACCACAGCAGAATCACATTCTCTTTGTAGCCCCACACCACCTCTTCATTTTATTTTATTTTCCAAGTGTTTCTGGAAAGCTTGAAAGAGGAGAGAAGGCTAGGTGAGAGCCCCTTAGACGTAGTCCTATGGACAAGGGCAGCTTGGGGTGCACCTCAGTGATACAGGGGTTACCTACCATGTGCAAGGCCCTGCCTGGCCTTGGTCACTAGAGGGGCATGGCAGGAGAGAAAGGGAGAGAGATGGGGGAAAGGGAGAATATTCCCAGAAGCTTGGCACCCTGCAGATGGCTTCAGGGCCAGATTCCTAGGGATCCTGCAGGACAGCACCAAGGAAGTCCAGAGCCAGACCTTAGGAAATATAGGTGCAGTTCTGCCAGCTGGATGAACTTGGGCATGGTACCACTCCTGAGGCCTGGGCTGTAAGAAGGAACCTGCACCCTTTGTTTTGCCTGGCTTTGAGGAGAAAGCACCCTACCATGGCAGAGAAGGACCTGCCTTCATATTGGGCTAAGGAACGCCTGAGGGTGGAAGTTGTAAAGCTCTTCTGTTCACGACCATGTCCCGAGATGCCACCCCTTCTCATCTGAAAAGTTTCAGGTGAGACCAGAGTGAACACTGGAAGGCGCTGGCTATTTGGTCCAACCCAGCCTCCCCAAATCCTCTTGGCCACTGACAAGCCGACTTTGGAGACAGGAACCTTTTCCCAGCCTTCCTGCAAACCAGGTGCCAGGTGGCAACTCTGCTTCCTCTGGTGAAATGGCATACAGAGCTGGCTAGAGATGAGCCCAGAGAAAGGTGCCAGGCAGAAAGCCCTAGAGGACCTCGCAGGACCTCCCACCCACCCCAGTCCTTATTACACAGTGGGTGAGCAGAAGAAACTTCAGACTAGCCGCATGGGGACACCTGGCTTCTCTGGCTCCGGGGCCAGCTTTAAATAGTGCAATTATCATCTCAGCTTAGCAGAAGCTGCAACTCCCAAACTCACAGGTCTTGATTCAGAAGAGAAAGTGCCAGTCCCCAAAGCCAGCATTTGCAAGGGGCTTTGCCAGGAAGGGTGTGGGGTAGGCTGTGAACAGCAGAAGAAGGCTCGGGAGTGAGTGGGTGTGAGAGTGTGTTGAGGAGGGAGGGGCGCCTGGAAAGTAGGCCTCTGGCTTTATAAACATTAAAGGCACTCCCCCATTTCCCCTAGCAAACAGGAGGGCTGGACACTCCAGTCTGATGCCCTGGCTAGCTATATTTTCACACTGGCCTGACTCCCTACTGTCCTACCAGATGGCAGGTCCCACCTCTTGCCTAGCTTAGCAAAGAATACAGCCAAGCTGCTCGGAACTAAGCTCACGCCTGAGTAGACCACGAGCTGGACAGAGAAGGAGTGTCAGGGCAGGAGCCTCTCTAAAGCCAACGGAATGGGAGGGGGGGTCTCACATGCCCTAGACTTAAGGCAGGGTGGGGGTCTAAGGACATGGAAGAGGTGAACCAGAAAAATGGCAAGGACGGTTGCCACGGTGGTGTGTAAGCATTTATCACATGCCAGAACAGTGTTACTTTCACCCTCACCGTCCCTTACAGGAAGACACAATCCCTCTTCCCATGTCTCGGATATGATAACTGGGACTTGGGCTCACAGATAAAGGGAAAACCGGGGTAAGTGGCGCAGCTAACACCAAAGGGGGTGGGTCTTCCAGGCATCTTGTCGTCCCTGAGAATGCCCTGCCACGCCCATCAGGGTGACGGGTGACCTGTAGAGACCTAGCTTGGGTCCTTCCTCTGACATTCTCCTCAAGCCTGTGCCATCACACTCACAAAGGTGGCCATTTCCGGCTAGCATGACCTGTCTCCAGAGCCCCCCACACACACCCAAATCCCTTCCTCCTGCCTCAGGTGGCTCCACACAGAGTTAGAAGCCTCCCCTTCTGTCGCCCACCACCAACTCACCTGCATGCACACTCTAACCACACACATTTTTCTGAGTCATAGAATCCCTTAACCCCAGTGGCACCAACAACATCTGCTCACGCCATCAGACTGCTCCCCTGTCCTTCCATGTCAGTCAGAGCTTCTCCTCCTCTGTCCAGCTCATCATCCCAAGACCTTGCCTGGCCTGCGTCTTCTAATGAACTTGGATTGCCCAAGCTCATCCCATATTTCCCCCATAGAGCCTTGTCTGATCCCCTCGCAATGGAGAGGGGTACCATTTAGAGACTTGTATACATCTTACTGGTGCTGGCCTTCCTTTACATCACCCAGGTGGGCAGACCCTACATAAGAACCCTAGGTAGCTTTGGAAGCTCCAACAGCAAGTCTTCATGGGAAGAAACTGAACACACATGGGATAGTTGGGGAGATTTCTAGACATTCATACCTGATAGACTTCAAAGAACTCCAAGGAGGAAATCCTGGCCCAGAATTATGGTCATGTAACTCGCCCCCTGAAAGCTACAGTCTCTCACCAACACCCTGGGGCCACTCCTCTACTGAAAGCAGACTCTGGAGCAGGCTGTTCATGAGACCCTGGGAAGGCACTTCTTCTCTCTGAGCCTCAGACTCCCTCTGTGAGATGGGAGTGACAGCTAGCAGCCCCCACTTCAGACTGCTGGCAGAGGTCACCATCCAGGAAGTGTAAACACCGCTTCCTGGCCATACACATACATACGGTGTGTTAACTTACCGCACTGAAGTACTGTCTATGAAGACACTAAGCATAATTCTTATGTTTCAACCAGACAGCCAGAATGTCGGTGCAACAGAACACTAGACCTGGGACAGCTACAAAGCTGACACTAGGGTCTGTCAACCATTTTCCACACTCCAGCCATCTCCTAGAGAGCGTATATTCCCCAAGTCAAGACATAAGAATGCAGCACTGAACACAGCCCTCTGCCTCTCCAGCGCTCATCACTGACAACAATCATTCTAGGCACCTCGGACGAATCAGAGTGTTCTCAAACAGTTTTAAAAAGAAGACACAAAGCAATGTGGATGGTATATTTGGAACATAAAAAAATCTCTCAAAGCCAGGGATCTGCGCCGGACAAATGTTCAACAGGGTTCTTTGGCATGGGAAAAAATAAGTGCTCAGAAGTCACTGTATTAGTAGTGAGTCAATCTTAAGATTAGGGAGCTATCACATTGCAGCCGACCGTACTGGTCAGAGTGCTGACAGGTGTCAGGATGAGGCACAGAGTACAGAACTACTGAGAAACGCAAGCACTGTAAAAGGGGTGTGTGTGCACGCGTGTGTGTGTGCATGTGTGTGTGCGCACACACGCATGTCTTCATGGACAAAAGCAGCATGTGTACAAGTGTTTATGAAACAGAGAATGAGGGCGTCATGTGTCTTTATGCAGTCAGATATGTGAACATGTAGTCATGAGAATGCTCTGTATATATGCGTAGCCATGGAAGAGTTAGGAGAGAATGAGAATGTGGTAAGAGTACAACACACGCCTTTAACCCCAGCACTCGGGAGGCAGAGGCAAGTGGATCTCTGTGAGTTCGAGGTCAGCCTGGTCTACAGAGCAAGTTCTAGGACAGTCAGGGCTATTATACAGAGAAACCCTATCTCAGGGGGGAAAAAAAAGTATGGTCATGACGATCAGGGCCTGAGTGTGTGCACGAAAGCCAGTGAGTATATAAACATTCACAAACATAAACTGTGAGTCATAAACATTGTGGTTATAATTCTACGTCAAGGCTCGTGACTCTATGCGATGGTGTGTGAGCACGTGCACAGTCATGAGAATGAGTATGTGTGGTAAAGACAGACATAGGAATCTAGGAGGCAAGGAATCTTGTATACTCCTAAAAGCACAGTGGGGCCATGAAAGCTCACGTTTACATGTATGATCATAAATGTTCACTGTTGGTCATGAAAGAGTCTAATTGAACCTACGTGAGAATATCTGAGAGGGAAAGGAGAGAGGGGTGGGGATGAAAATTAAACAATTCTATATGTTCCAGTGTTCTGCCCCTTATAGGGCCAAAAGATTGAGACACACCACACTGGCCTTGTGTGAGCTGAGGTCATAGAAATCATAGAAATGGGCCCAACCCTCCCTTTGACTACTTCGATCTATTGGGGATGCATTGCAGGGTCTCTAAGCACGGGTCTCTGTGTCCGTGAGAGAAGGCTGGTTCACCCCATGTTACCTCTCAGAATGTCAATTAGTATGGGTCAGCCCTAGTCAATCTCAGACAGCAGGCTTCCCAGCTGTCCACTCAGCCCTGCTCTTCTGAGCCAAACATGGAAAAGCGCTCTTCCAAAGCAGCCACCATGGTCCATGGTACCCATCCCCTTCTGCCCTACCACCACTGCCACCCTACCACCTGTAGCCACACACTCCCCATCCTGTGTTCTCTTCACATCTTACTTAGGAATAGGAACTCAGTGCCACACGAGGGGACTTCCATCGTTCTGTGCAAGTTTTTCTTAAAAGTGGATGGAAACCTATTTCCCCTCTGGAAAGACGATAGTCTATGTGAAAACAATGGTCATGGAGGTACATCGGATGTGCACACAACTGCACAGCTGCAATACTGGCACTTGAGTATGAGGGCAGAAAGGTCAAAAATTCAAGGTTTTTCCCAACTGCACAGCAAAGTTTAAGGCTAGTCTGTGCTACATGAAACCCTTTAAACACACATGCACTCATAATTTATAAGACTTCAACTCACTGGCTGGACAAGATAGCAATAAAGGCCTCTAAATACAAACCAGCTACTTTATCTGACAATTAAAACATTATTTCAAAGCTGGGCATGGTGGCGCACACCTTTGATCTCAGCGCTCAGGAGACAGAAACAGGTGGATCTCTGAGTTTGAGGCTAACCTGGTCTACATAGTGAGCTCCAGGACAACCAGGGCTATGTAGAGAGACCATGTCACAAATAAATATATATATATATTATGCATACATTTCAAGAGGATGGAGAGATCGTTCATTGGTTAAGAATATTGACTGTTCTTCCAGAGGACCCACGTTCAAGTTCCAGCATCTACATGCGGCTAACAACTATCTATACTCCAGTTCTGGGGTATCCAATGCCACCTTCTGCTTCCACAGGCACCAGGGACACCTGGTACATAGTTATATCATACAAGCAAAGCACCCACACACAATAAATTTAAATTTTTTAAACTTTTAAAAATTATTTGAGTGCTTTTTTAAATTGTCATACAATAACATGTTACACAGTTCTATAATTAATAAAATATGCATATATAAGCTGCACCATATCTATACATTTGTATAATCATTCAAGGTCATGAACCCAAGCCTAAATATTCTGCTTTATGACAGATTTAGGAATTTCCATGTCATCTACTGCCAATTCGCCCAACGGATTGTAACAGTGTGGTACTGCATCCCAACACTTCTCTGCTGCAGGTTAAATATCTTAATTGCAAGGAGATCCTGCTTCACAGAACCCAGGGGACCAGACAACGGATGACTTCAATTCAATACTCACTCAAAGAGTACTGTTACAGGTAGAGAAAACGCATAAGGTCCATCACAGGCTTCTTGGGAGAATCCCGTACAGGGTAGCATTTGAGCAACCTGGGGTCTAGCCTGGGGTCAGCGCTGAGCATCATCCCTGGAGTAGGAGGAGCAACTGAAGCTCTCAGAGAAAGTGACACGAAGCCAAGGCCTCTCAGTCCCTAACTGAAAGGCACGCTGCTGCCCTGGGCTAGAAGCGGCCTCAACTCTCATATAATTCTCCCTTAGAGCCCTCGTCCCAGCACTGTTCCTCTACCAGTTCTACCTCACTGACATTCTCAGTTCTTTAAGGCCCCTTCCCACTTCAGCAATGCGGAGCCCTTCTCAGACTGAAGAATTCGCACAGATCGCGGTCCTGGGCACACGGTCCTCAGCACAGGACCACAGCCCCTCTGAGGGTTCTTTACTCTGCTGGCCACCCCAAGTGCCACACTCCTGTGAGCCAGCACCGTATGCCCTCCAGAGCTAATTATAGATCAGTGAGCTAGCAGGCGGGGGGGGGGGGGGTTAGGGGGACAGATGGTGACTTACATGGTTGCAATACACACTTGTCTCTCCCTCTGTCTGACCCCACTCCCTCTTCTCCACTTCTTCCGGTTCCTTATGTGGGACCCATATGTGGGACTCTGGCGGATTTTTCTCTCTCAGTCTTCCTTACTCCTCATTTCCAGCACACACATCTGCACAAGCACACACATGCACACCAGGCAGGTGAACACACACACAGCCTCTCTGCGCTGCTCAGTCAGCACGGCACACCTTGTTCATAAAGCAAATCCTCTACCAACTTCATACAACACAGCTCTCTGAGGCCCGGGGAGAGTCTTTCTGGCGTAGCAAGGCCTCGCTAACTATCCTATCTCTTAGAGCTCCTTTGGTACCCAGCTGCCTGGCCCTTCTGAGACTTCACCCTCCCAGGCCAACTACCCATCTTCTCCCCAGCTATCTATCCCATCTTACTATCCTCGGAGGCTCAGAAAGATCCCACAGCAAACCTCAAAAACTCCTTCCAGTGCTAAGATTTCAGCCATCAACTCAGAGGGGACCCAAGAGCCCGCCTGCCCCTACTCTGCCCCTCTGCTCCTTCCTTCACAAGCCAGCCGCTGGGCAGAGCCCACATACTTCCATCATGGCACACTCAGCAGTACAGACCCAAACACCTCCAGATGAGAACTCCCCTCATGGCAATCGCCCATACCCACGCATTTTCCGGAGACGGTGTCTCCTACTGCACAGTGTCTAGGTCCTCACAGCCCTAATAACCAATGTGCTGTCCCTCATCTCATTACTTTGAGACATCATTTATCTCGGGAAGCCTCCTCAAACCTTAGCACAAAATCTAAGAAAATAGCCAATGAAAATCATTCAAGCTTTTTTTTACTTAAGACTATGGCCAGCTAACGTGGTGATAGGGGTTCTGCGGGTTGAAATCCAGTTGGGGTCTTTTTGTTGTTGTAGGGGTGGTGGTTTTTTCGTTTTCTTTTGTTTTCCCTGTCAATTAGCAGTGTAACTAAATTATAAATGGGAGGATAGTGCCTAATACTTGTGCCACTTCGGCTATCATTCACTTGCTCCATGGTCCTAAACTGCTTTGGATGACCAAGTAGTTAGCAAGGTGTCTGGCACGTAGTAGGTGCCCAATAAATGTTTACTCAATATTGAACAAAGTGCCAAGTGCCAATCCCAACTCTGGAAAGGGCTGCAGGGAGTCCCTGAAACCTGGCTCCAGGAGCAGCCTCCTCCAGCTCACACCAGGAGGGAATCGTCAGGCTAAGCACAGCCCCCTTAACCACTTGCTCTCCACGTACAAGTATTGAAGAGCTGCCTCAACTCTCCCTCCTCTCCAACACATCTCTCTTCAAAGGTGACATCAGCCCTAGTGGCACTTAGTCCTAGATCCCTCCTCCTTCTCAAAGAAACCACCTACAACACATAGCCAGGTCCTCCAGCCCGACCTCCCTTCCTACCCGCCATAAAAGCTTCAATAAGCTTGCTGGGAAATACCCCTACTGTGTTCACTAACCAGCCCCTCACCCCCAACCCACACCAGTTCAGGAATCTCTATTACGAACGTCTTTTCCTGTTGCGCCCACCCTTATCCCCACCCCCACCCTGGCCTCGGGCTGGCCATTCCTTCCACCCCACCGCCCCAGCACTGCGGAGATGGGGGGCATCTCTGGTACGGCCTGACACCCTGACAGTTCTAGGAATGCAGAGCTGACGATAGTTACCAAGGGCGTAAAGAGGCACGCGGGGAGGATGAAGACCCCCGGGAGGAACGGAGACCTCAGCCTCACAAGCGCTCGCCCAAAGGAGCAGAGTTGGCCCCCAAGCCCAGACGCGCTTTTGCTCTGACTCCTGGAGAGGATGTGGGGGCGCAGTCTACCCGGCTGCCCCCTCCCAGGAAGCCGATGGAGCTGAGGAAGAACTCCACGCCCTCCCTGCAAAATGGGCATCGACCCCCATCCTCATCCCCAAGGGCACAGGGCACAGGAAAGGCGAGGGGCGACGAAACCCGCGCCCCGCAGAGACACATCCAGACCAGAAGAGGCTGTTTCCTAAGGCGCACTAACAGAGACTCCTCCTCAAACTGTGCAGAGGAGCTGGAGCTGGGGAAAGGGGAATCCTTTCCCGCGGAGTGGGCTGTGGGCGCTCACCTGCGTGGAATCGCGGAAGGCCCAGCGGCAGCAGGGCGCCGCCCCCGACCTCGGCAGCGCCAGGCGTCCTAGAGGCAAGCGCGCAAAGGTAGCTGCAGCCTCCGCCGCCTAGTACCCGGCCTCTAGGACCCGCCCCCTTCCTCCGTGGATACCCCGGACCCACCCCCTAAGGGCGGGGCCTGGCCGCCTCTCCCCCAAGGCCACGCCCCCCACACCCGGGCGCTGCCTAGACCGGGTTCACACGTGACAAGGGCGCTGCTTTGATGCTGTGCGCCATCTTGGTTGGGCCTGAGAGGGCAGGGCCAGCATTTAATCTGGTGTTTAGGCCTCAGGACTGAGAAGGCAGAGCACAGCCTACCGCTTCTAACCCCTGAATCCACCTTCCCAAGTCTAACCTCTTCCCTAAATGGCCAGCCGTTTGTCACCTTTCACACCTGTTCTCTCCCACACGTCTTTAAATGGAGACACTGGAAACCCAGCTACTCTTATAGTATGTGCTGCAGTAAATTATGACTTGCTTTTAGGCATGTGACTGTCCTAGCACTGTTACTATAAAATGAAGTGTTGTCTATGATACATACATCCTATGAAAACACACTCATATGCCAAAATTCTGATTTTAGCTAAACCGATTTTCCTGAATTGCTCCCTTTCCCTGCCCCCGTGGCTATTAATGTATCTTTCCCATCTGGTTTGTGAAGTTTCCTTACAGTGCCTACTCGAATCCTTTACAAATACCCCATAAGCACTGTTATAAGTGTGAAGTACTGGTCGTGGGTGTGGGGTTTGTTTGGTTTTGTTTTTTTTGGAGGGGTGGGAGGTTCAAGACAGGGTTCTATGCAGCCCTCTCACTCTGTAAACCGGTGTAGCCTGGTTGTCCTGGAACTCACTCTGTAGACCAGGCTGACCCAAACTCAGATCCACCTGTCTGTACCTCTACCTCCCAAGTGTGGCGTGAGCAACCAGGGCCCAATAGTGAAGAACCGTTGTATACATGCAATGTGCAGTTACAGATCTATGCACATCCTGCAACAGCAATGTCTGTAAAGGCTGTAGCTGGGATCAGTTAACAGCCTTTCATTCACTTTCTCCCAATATATTCAACATAGTCTTTGCATCTTTAAAGAAAGGCAAGGAAATGTAATTCCGATGGGGTTTGGGAGAAGCTAAACCTGTATTCTTTTTTTGACCCTTTGAGCAAGAACATATATACAGAGAGACAACATGTATATATCATACATGTGTATATGTATGTATATATATAGCATATTTGTATATGCATCTATATATGTACATCTATAACATATGTATATAAATATATACATATTTCAAGAAGCAAAAATTATTAGTTTTTAGACCTAGAGTCTACAAAGTTCCAATTGTCCTCCTGGTGGTCTAGTGCTTACCAAAAGGCAATCCTTGAGACTCTTCAGATCCTGTAATTAACAAAACACGAGCAATGCCAGAAAAGGCAACTCAGTCAATGCTGAGAAGGCTGAAGCTATGGCAACCATGAAAAACCACTTTACCAAGTGTTGGCAATGTGTTAAGAAAACAGCAGAGGCAGTAACTTCAAAGGCAGAATATAGTATCTATGATCATACTATGGAGTTTGGCACAAGAACTCAGAAGTTGAGCCAGACAACAATTATTAAGCCACATTTATTTCACCCCTGAAGTAAATCTAAATGGGAGACACACACCCACAAGGACAACATCCCCCTGTCCAGGGCATCATTTTTTTCAAGGACTCCAGACTGTGCTTCTTTTTTTTCTGCTTTAAAGAGACAACTTTTGATCGCAGAGATCCGTAAAGGGCTCATTGCCCCTGGGTTTCTGTACCCAAATTCTGGTTGTCTTTTTTACTGACCCAGGCTCACTTTCTGATCAACCATCGTTAGTATTCCCGAACCTCAGTGTGGAGTAAGGCTAGCTGTCAGAAGCAGTCTTAAACAGATGCTTCTTAAGAAAGTTCTTTACCGAGCATGGGTGGGAGAGTGATAAAAACAACACACTAACTTAGCAGTTTCAGTAGTTTTACCCCACAATAATTTTATGTTTAAAGAATATTGTCTTCCCAACATTCCAGAAAGCTATCGTAAAAGGATTAAATTCAAGGCCAGCCTGGGCTACGTAGCAAGACCCTGTCTCAAGAAGTCTCCTTTTTGTGGGGCAGGGAGGCTGGACTGCTGTGCAAGGGGTTGAACTCAGAATTTTGAGTGTAAGAATATTGTCTTACTGCCTACCTCCTGCCACATCAAGGTGGGAAAAGGAAACAAGGTTCTCCTCTTAGCAAAAGAATAAACAAAAACCCACCAGCAAGAGACTGACCAAAAGAGGATGCCAATGTTCCCAGACAGACAGAAGACCAGGCTCCTGAAAGCACACAGGATGGTTTTAAAACAAAAACAAAGGTTGCAAAGTACCAGACAGGGCAGAGAAAAGCCACTAATTGCTTCTAGTTTAAGGCTGGTTTCAACATGCAATGCTTTTTTTTTTTTTTTTGAAAATGACCTTTAGCATAAAGGCTTTCTAATAGTTTAATGCAAACACCACAATTCTTCCTAAACTGTGTTTTACCTTTCACTAATGCATGTCTATCTCAAAGAGTCAAACTAACTCATTCTTTACTTTTTTATTTATCACATTCTGCCCACTCCCTTTTAACACTATGTACCACAAGAAAAATGGTTGGCCTTTGGAGTTGTGGCATAGCAAAAAAGACATGGGTCAGAATCCTCACTCTGCAGGGATAAGCAGTTCTGGCCTTGGGTAAATCAATGATTCAAATGATTCAGCTTCTCAACCATAACATGGGAAGGATTTCAATTACCTTGCAAGACACAAGGATTAGAGACACAATATATAAAGTTCTTAGGACAGTACCAGGGGCACATAATCATTACCATCACTATCAGTCTCATGCAGTAAAGCAAAAACCCAAAATACAAAATCAGCAAAACAATCAATATTCATGTAATAAATATCCAAAAAACATTTTTTTAAAAGATGCACAAGTCAGTCTTGTAAGATTCTGACAACCCTGTCACCTGCTTTATTTCTGGAGAAGGGTAAAGGGAAAAGAAAAAAATATTCACTTGAATTTGAGGAGCAGCAACAATGGAGCAACCATTTTAAACCTCTGGGTTCCTGCAATCCACAAGGGAAAATTTCCTTGCTTGAAAAGTTAAGTGTCTAATTTTTCCCTGGCACAAGCTCATCCATTTTTGTTGAGATGAAATAAAGAACAAGCTCAACAGCACCAACTGGGGTTTAACACAGAAAATGAGGCTGGGTTTCTCCTTTCAAATATGCAAATTTTACATGAAAATGTTTATAAATCATAGGTGTTTTTCCTCTTGATTCAACCTTTCCACCTCCTGTAATAGGAGCCCCAGGAACCCAACAGCATGTGCATCACTAATCAGATATACAATCCAGCTGCCCCTCCAACAGAATCTGATTACAGAATTGGACTAGACTGGGAGCTGTCCCAAGGGATGGGAAGCAGTAACTATGCTCTCAGGGAGAATGGATACTGCGGATGCTACCAGTCAAAGAGCCTAACACTGTGTACTGGGTCCAGGACGACTTGCACACCCTGTTCACTGCGCAGATTCTGACCACCACGAACAGGAGAATCTTGGAACACCAATCTCACTCGATGATGCCGCATGTCTGTACTCACATTAATAGTAAACAAGGTAAATATCATTCCCATGACAATAGGAACAAAGATGAAATTGAGGGTGGTAACCTGTAGCAGGCAGCAGTCCTGGTCAGGGTTGGTATGAANGTTCAGTCTCAAGGTTCATCTCTTTTATGATATCAATATAAAATAACAATATAAAGTAACAATATAAAATATAAAATATATTAAATATATAAATATAAATATAAATATAAAGTAACAATATAAAAGGTTCAGGATGATTTTTATGAGGGTTTTTATTCTTTGTGTTAAAGGGCCTTACAGATAAAAAAAACTTAAGATATATGCACACATTCTACCACAAAGCCATTTAATGTGTTATACATATAGGATAAAGATGGCATTCTGGTAAGATACTGATGAAAAAGTCAAGCGTGAAACCTAATACATGAAACCTCAGCCTGACCTCATTTTTTTGGAAAATAAACCAAAAAACCTCCAAGTAGTTATATGCAAGTTTATACAGAACTAGTGCAGCATGTACAGAATATGAGTTAACAGTGAGGTCATTAATGTGGCTTACCATGAAAGGAGGGAAAAGTGCTACAAGAGGACGCATACTTGAACATATAAACAGACACACTTTAGAAACATTCCCAGAAGGTCAACTGTGGTTATAGGAGAGTGGCAGTCTAAGTCACATCTACTTTCCAATAAATTTATGTATTACTTCATGATATGTAATGTATGATATATATGTATTCATGATATATAATACCTATCATTAAAAAATTAAGCTTTTTCATCATAGAGAAGAACTCCATACATCTCTGATGATAAGTCACATAGAAGACAAACAGCAAATAAAATGAACTTTCTGGCTGCATTTTTAAAACACGTAAAGTATAAGCTACAGGAACATCTATTATTTACTCCTCTAACTTTGGCCACGTTCTAAAGAATCAGAGCATCACAAGGACAAAGTTAGTTCTCTATTTTAATATTCCATTAAGGAAGCACATGAACGCCCAAGGTCCTGACAGTGCTCGTATGTGTTTCTCAATGCTCCTTCAAGATATCATTTCTTAACCATTATGATCACTGCACATACAGGAAGATGGGAAATCCTTCCCTCTCTTACAGAAGACAGGCAAAACATCCTTAGATATAATTAGCTTCTCCCCATATCTGTCTTTGTAATATGCAAATCTGATTTCAGACTTTGTTTTGTTTTTATCTGGGAAGCGTTTGGGTTTTTTTTTCTTTTGTTGAGTTTTACTTTGGTTTTGGTATGTGTGCAGTCACTTGAAGGGGGAGAATACCTGTGTATTATTCTGGTTTTAATTTCTGACTTTATTATTCTTCAGAGATTTCTTCCCAATAGTTAAATCTACAAATCCTTTTTCAAACTACAGATACAATGCAAATCTATAGAAGAGCTGAATCCCCACTTACCAAGGTAA